AATTTAACTAAAAAAAGATTGAAGTGTAGCATGCATCCAGACATGGCATTTCTTCCTGAAGTCTAACACAAGCTTCTCTGAAAATTGGTAATAATTATATAGGCCAACAAATGCCTAATTAAAAATCTATCTTTTGGTTTTCATAGTCCTTGCAGTCTTCACATTTTTAAATACTCCTCCTCAATTAGAAATCTTCCGTGATAGAAATCTTTATGAAAAAAACAAAAGATTTTATGTTTGATTACTATGTGAGTATTTTAAATAGAGTTAGTAATATCTGGACATATGTTTTCCCATCATTATTAATTAACAGTGTTTCTATATTACATGCAGTTCTGTTTTTCTTCAGGCTTTGACTAAAAACATGCCATTTCAACAGTTGACACACATGAAGCACAATTACATCTCAAAGTATTATCTAGTTGTTCTATTTGTACATTGAAAACAATTTTCCCCTGCTTCATCCCACATTGAAGCAGAAACAAAGATTCAAACACTCTGCCAACCCAATTTCTAGCCAGAGATTTTCTCTCAGACGCATTTTTTTTAGGGGTAGTTCTTCATTCTTGGGATGACAGACAAGTAGGGCCTGGGAAAAGGAGAGACAGAAAGCAGAACTAAAAAAGAGATGAGCTTTGGAAGGAGGAATGTGAGAACCATCTTGGCAAAGGACAAGAGAGCAGAATGAAAAGATTCAGAGGATGGGTTATCCCAAAGCTTGTATCTCCTTCATCTGCAACCTCACTCTCTTCTGACTGATCAGTACTGGGCAACCTGCAGATCAGTGGTCCTAACCAACCCCTGAACAGAGGGTGGCAAGTTTGAACACTTCAGTGGGAAAAGAGGGGCCTCAGGAAAGGACCTCCCTTTGACCAGGTGGAAATGAATTGAACACTGGGAAATTCTCCTCTGACCAGAGGGAGTGCTAACCCCACTATCTTTATTTACAGGTGCTTTTATGAAGTACCAGTAACAATAAGTGACTTTTTTGAGGATAAGACAATCAAATCTTATGCTCAAAAAACGGAGATTTGCCCCCACAGAAAATATCGAAGGGAACATATGAAAGCTGTTAAGACAATTTCAAAAAGGAATTCCAGTTAATGTTTGAACAATGGTTATGTTATTGACATAATTGTTCAACCTGCTATGGTCACTGTTTTGAAGAGGGAAGACTTAGATAGTTCAGTCATTCTTCTAACTTGAAAGACTCATAACTAAACATTATACCTAACAATATGAATCTGAAGGTAACACTTTTCAAACAACAATACTCAGGTTTTAACAGACTTTCTTGAAAAACTTCTTAATCCAAAGAAGTGAAACAAGTGATCAGAGACAGTGTAGTAATGCAAAAGGAAAACAGGTTTTGGAGGCAGGCTTCTGTTCTCAGCTGTGTGAGCTTGGTAAGGTTAACTCAACTTACCTGAGTTGTAGTTTGTTCATGCATAAAATGGGAAAATTACTGTCTACTTAGAACAGTTGTGATTAGTATTAAAGGAGATAATGTAAAAATGGCATATACTTGCTTATATGCCATGACTATTATGATAAATAATGGAACTTTGTAGACATTCCTGCAGTCTGGCAGGGTGCATGCTTTTGGGTAGATTGACTGAGGCAGCTGGTAAAAGCATTTCTTTCTTTCTTTTTTTTTTTTTTTTTTTAAAGATTTTACTTATTTATTTGACACAGAGAGAGATAATGAGAGCAGGAACACAAGCAGGGGGGAATGGAAGAGGGAGAAGCAGGCTTCCCGCTGAGCAGGGAGCCCGACGCGGGCTTGATCCCAGGACCCTGGGATCATGATCTGAGCCGAAGGCAGATGCTTAACGACTGAGCCACCCAGGCGCCCCAAGGACAGTAAATGTCTTATTTAAGATATCAAACTTGTCCATGCCACAACCACATAATTTCTTTTTTTAAAATCAAGTATGTTGTTGGCATTTGAGTGGCAGATATAGAGAAGAAAGAGCACTGGATTAGGAGGATGGATATATTTAAATTCTTGTCCCATTAGCAGCACATCCTAGCTCTATGACCTTGGGCCAAGTCATGTAACCTCTTTCAGCTTCATTTTCTTCAAGTAACTCAAGGAAAGTGGGGATGATAATTCTGTCCTTTGATTTATGGCATTATTTATGTGATGATCAAATGAAATAATATACACATTGAAAATTATTAAGTACCATGCCAATTTAAAACATTATTGGCTTGAGCCTAGATGAAATAAAACATAAGCATTCAAATTTAGACAAAATTAGGTTTTTATTATTAACTTCAATATCCTTTAGGGTAGAGGTGTAACAGTTTCCTTTTTTAAGATTCCTCTAATCAGTGGAGAAAATGAAACCTCTGACTGTTTTTTGAGAAGCAGCGGATAGTAATGGATAGTCACAGGTCTGGACATTGGGATCTAAGTCCTAATTTTGCTATTCACTATAACTTAGGGCAACTATCTTGCATGCTCTTTATGTGAGTTCCATCTTCTCTGAAATAATGGAGGCTCTTTTGTTTCCTTTTCCTTCTATAAACTTACGTGAGCATTCCTTTAAATGTACACCTTAGTTTTCTGTGGACATTTGAGAACTTCCCCTTTCACAACATGAATATAGTACGTGTTATCAAACCTGGTTCGTGTCCTGCAGTGGGGTCACTTGTAGGGGAAGAGATATTCTTAAATGTCAATATTAAGATCTAAATTCCAAAACTTAATATTCCATAAGAAAGAAATGCAAAAGAGTGATGTTTATGGTTAGTTTTCTAAGTGCATTTGACGTTGATTTTTTTGTTATTGCATCACTGTATTTATCTTTCAGAGAAAGATGTTATTGTTTTCCCCAGAAAGATACATATTTGCTTTGAGGTTCAGAAGGGTTCAGTTTTTGCCATATTTATTATAAAGTAGCATCCTCAAAACTACTTCAAATAAATGAGATAATTGGCCATGTCAGATTCTTCCATTGTGGATAGGGCTACCATTTATCAGTCAGTAATACACTTGGCAGGTAATGTGCTCACAGAATAGCATCTGTTAGACACACACAGCCTTGATTTAATCTTGATCTTAATGAACAGTGATAAAGATGGTAAGACGTAGGGTTAAAAATATAACCCAAACACTATTTATTTAGTTAGTCATCACATTTAAACTTCTGTTTTGGCAAGTAGGAGAAATAAAATAGCATTACTTACTTCATTCTTGAAAGATGTTCAGTTATTCAACTAATAATTATGGTGACTTGATTAATTAGTCCTTTTGCTTTTCTTTTTCTTCCTTCTATTGTCATCTTTTGTGTATGCCTTTTTCACCAGGTAATAAGATAAAAAAGAGAAAAACAAATTTATCTGTTTATATTACTTACTCATCTTAGTGAAAGCATTATTATGGTTTAAATCATGATTTAAAAATTATTTGTAGATTTTATTTTTGCTTTTAAAATTTTTCATTAAAAAGTAGTGTTGTTTACATACTAAAACAATAAAGCCAAAGCTTCATGCTGTCCATTCTTTTCTTCCAACATAATTGCAATCAGTAGTTTGAGTGTCTTTCCAAACTATTTTCTGTGTATCTGTCCACATGATATTTACATATCTACAAGTATGGCTGGTATACATAGGGTTACGTGATAGTATGACATCCCACAATTTTCATTTTTAATTTAATAATATATCTTGAAGATCTTCAATAAAGGAATATCTTTCTTCTCCTTGATAAGTGCATATTAATTCACAGTACAGATGTATTATAGTTTATTTTTCCATTCCCTTCTTGAAAGTTATTTAAATTGTTTTTAATTTTTTGATATTACAGTTTTTCAACAAACATTCTATATACACCTTTTCCAGCACAGGTACATATCTGCAGGACATTCTTAGAAGCAGAATTGTTGAATTGAAGAGTATGTGTGCTTTAAATTTTCAGCTACTACCAGATTACCTTAAAATAATGCTTACCAGTACATATTCCTACCACCGATATACAAGAATACTTGTTTCCCCTTACCCTCACCATTACTTGATGTTACCAGTCTTTTAAGTTTGTGCAAATTTAATGAGCAAAAATCTAGTTAAAAAATTTGTAGTGAACGTCTTTTCACATATTTATTGGTCATTTTTATTTTCCTCTTTAGTGATGTTTATATGATTTTGATTATAGTGTTTTCTTTATATTTTCTTCATATTGTTTTGTATTTAATCTTGCACACGTTCTTATTATCCATTGGCTTATTGTTGTTGTTATTGTTTTAATTTGCAAAAGTTGTTTATACATTCTGGATGTAGTTTTCTCCATTCTATATTATGAAATATTTTCTTCTAATCTGTCATTTGATGTTGAACTTTGTTATTTTTGTTGTTGTTTGTTTAGCTGTTTGAAATTCATTATGCATTTGATACTACCAAATTTTTTCCCTTTGCCTTCTGTATTTTGTGCTTTGCGCATGATCTTCCTTTTTCCAAAGATTTTTATTTTCCATTTGTATGAATAAATCAAATGTTTTAGCTCATCAAGTATCTTTTAAGTAGCTGATTGGACTGTACTCCCACATTTCTCTATCTTTACAGAGGTCATGTGGTTTTCCATTAAAATTGAGAAAGCTTATTACTCTAGCTTTAGAGATGTGTGGCTATAACTTTTGATATAGTCATTTCAGCATGCTGCTTTTCCCAAGTGTAGTCATAATAAGGTAAACATTAAATATTGTCTGGTGTGTTTGGCCTCATGCATGAACTTGAATGATTCATGTAGATCATTATACAAGTGCTGTAGCTTGCACACCAAACTTGCTGTCTGAGCTGTTAATCAAAGTGCTTATGTATCTGCATATTTTTCTTCTTAATTCTCTATACTGATTTTAAATGTTATGCAGTTCACAATTAGACAATGTTTTTTTAAAATTTTTTTAGACAATGATTTTAATTCTCACTGTTTAATAAAATACCATATTTTAGGTGGAGAAATGAAAAGCTTACTCATAAAAATTTACTTTTTCCTTCAGTTTTGTCAAAGCAGCACGCTTCACAAGTCCTGGTTAGGAAACGCCGTGCAAATTCTATGTTTGAAGAAACCAAAAAGGGTAATCTTGAAAGAGAATGCATTGAAGAATTGTGCAATAAAGAAGAAGCCAGGGAGGTCTTTGAAAATGACCCTGAAACGGTAAGAATTTATGAAATCTAATTAGATTAGATTTAATTACATACCTAGACATACAATTAAAGACTGAACATTTCCAGCTTGAGTCCGTGTTCCCTTGTGTTCCTTTTTTTAATAAAGATTTTATTTATTTATTCATGAGAGAGAGAGAGAGAGAGAGAAGCAGAGGGAGAAACAGGCTCCCAAGGAGCAGGGAGCCCGATGCGGGACTTGATCCTAGGACCCTGGGATCATGACCTGAGCCGAAGGCAGACGCTTAACCATCTGAGCCACCCAGGCGCCCTTTAAAGTTAATGATAATGTATATCTCCTTCTACATGTAAACACTGAAGCATTTCAGAAAAAGTAACTTCAGAGGAAAGTGGGCTTGTTAGGAAGACACTATTGTCAAAGCAATGTGCTCTGACCAAAGTATAATTCAGTTATATTTCATTATCAGCAAGTGGTCTTGACCTCATGGTTTGTAAATACTTTCTTCCTAACTGGAATTTGGTAGTATTGGGTAGGTGGAGAAGAAGGTATCTCCCCACAATATGTGTGTGTGTGCGTGACTGCATTATCACTATACTTCATTAAATCTCTCCGTTGGCATTTTTAACCAGGCTTTAGAAGACAAGGCTATCTAATCCAGAGCTTGATACATCATAGCTACTCAGTGAATGCTTACTGAAGAATTCATTACAGTACTGTATTCCCTAAGTATAATTTTTTCCATAAAGCCTTGGGAAGTTTCCTGAACCCACTTGATATGATCACTAATCCCTGGGGTTAGAATTTATATATTTAGTGTATAAATTTTTCCAAGTTAGTCTAGAAGAATTTAATCATAAAGACCACTAAATAGCATACAGAAATATGGGACCCCGGACCTTATCTTTAGTCTCCTAATTTTCCTAGGGAAGGATGTTTTCTAATATGCCCTGTGGAAAACGGGATTATAAACAGGGCCTCTAAAAATTAGGATGAAGATGACCTTGAGAATTCAAATATAATAGCCATCAGGGTTACCTCAGATATATTTCCTGAGATGAACTATGTAACCCAAAGGAAATGAGGGAGAAAACATATACAAAGTAGCTCCTTTAGCTCAGTCATGGCTCCTGGGACCATCAGACTAGATGAGAGATAATGAGCAGGAACATTTGTCTAGAGTTAGAGAACTTGTCCAAGACAGTAACAACTTGTGTTCCCCAGAGTTCCTCTTTAATCCTTTTATTTCTACCTACTCTAATAGGTTCTAAGAATATTTTTTCTAAGGTACCCAAAGAATAATTTTTAATACTCTGCAGGATTGAGCCAGTTTTGTTGCTTTTTGTGGATAAGCAATTGACAAGACAAAATATTTTTTTCACACTGTATAGCAGATTAGTACTCTTATTGTGCAGGATGTGCATATATATCACAATATAATATAATATTATTTATTATAGAAATTTAAATATATACCACAGTAGTCGGAACAATTTAATAAGCCCCCATATACCTTCCCAGACTTCAGCAATTATCAACAGTCAGCCATTCTTGTTTTGTCTGTTCTCTACCCCACTGAGTCTAATTTTTGTTTTGTTTTGCTGGATCATTTAAGGCAAGCCTGCATCCCTGAGATATCATATTATTACAGTGCCCATAAATACTTGAGTATATATTTCTAACATTATAAGTATGTTCTTGTAGCTTAGCCTCTGAATGGCAAATGGAGAGTGAGGTGTAAGACCATAGTGGAGAGAAGGGAAACTAGTTGAGAAGGGAAACTCATTTATGTGCTTCCTCCCCTCCACTTTCTGACATTGGTCTCATATACAAAAGAGAAGGATGACAGAGAGTAAAGAAAAAAATGGGAGAAATGAAAGGCAAGGAAAAAGAAACATTTGTGACTGCTCCTCATTTTCTTTCTTTTTCCTTTTTAAAGATTTTATTTATTTGAGAGAGAGAGAGAGAGTGAGAACAAGAGAGAACATGAGCTGGGGAGAGGCAGATGGAGAGGGAGAAGCAGACTCACCGCTGAGCCAGGAGCCCAATGCGGGGCTCGATCCCAGGACCCTGAGATCATGAACCAAGCTGAAGGCAGATGCCCAACTGACTGAGCCACCCAGGCGCCCCTGCTTCTCATTTTCTATCCTGCCCCAGCCTCTCCCTGTCCACGTCCCTAATATCCTAGTTCACACTCCCAGTCTCCACCCTGTTGCTCACCTGACCACTGTCCCTAATATCTACCTCTCACACCTACATCATCTCCTTTTGAACCTATTCATTGTTGCTTATCTTCCTGGCTTTTGTTCTGTAGAAGAAACACCACTGTTTGAATTACTTAGTGGGAGATCCCATCCTTATAAACGAGTAGACAAATGTTCTATAGGTTTATATGGGAGAGGAGGCAAGAGTGGAGACTTTGGCTCTGAACTGGATGAGGTATATTCCTTACTTGAGTATGTTTTTGTGTAGAAACACTGGTTTCTTGTGAGGTGTTCTTATGCTGTTAATGTTACACATTAGATATATTATGGCTTAAGAAGGCTTCCGGGAACCAGCCTAAGAACCGTAGCTTCAGAAATCATTTATAACATTTTTCTCCCTTTGGAAAAGTACATTCCTTAGTCCAATACTGATTTACAGACAAACTTTTGGTACATAACCAATTTATAAGTAAGGTATTACATGTACATAAGATGCTAAAAGATAAATATTCACTTTAATTCACTTCAAATTATGTCACTCTTACTGAACATTAAATGTGGCATATGTAATCAGCATGACATGAAATGTGTCAAGTGGGTATCTGATTGTTATGGAAAAATTAAAGGATTTATAAATAGCATATATTACATGTAACATCTTCAGTAGAACCTGTTTTCAAATTAGAAGCTTTTGTAACATGATTTTATTGCTTAATATTGATTTAAGCTAAGTGTCTTATTGGCTTATTGTTATTAGTTATCTACTCCTGGCATATTTTACTATAGCAAAAATGTTGTAATGTGGAAATGATAATTATATGCAATATATTTGCATATTTAATATAAAACACATTATAAAATTAAGTTTTAACTATATAGTGAAATTTAGGCTTGCTAAGATGTATTTTTTCTTTTCTTTCTTTCTAGGATTATTTTTATCCAAAATACTTAGGTAAGTTCAAAGAATCTCAATCATAATAATCATAGAAATAGGAGGGAATTTAGATTTGATCAAGTCCAATCTTCCACCCATCTATTCCATCCAATATAATTTAATTAGCCTTGGGGGTAAGAGTTCATTTTATATGGAGTTTTGCTGTCCTTTTATTTAAGGTCATGTAGACAAATTTGAAATGGTTCTTTAATGAATGTGTGGCATTTTGACTTTTAGTCTTTTTCATTCTCTTGTCTTTGTCATAAAGGTCCATGGGCTGATGATAAATTATATTTAAGTATCAGGACATTCTTTAGAAGCATATGAATTGTCATGGGTTATCTTAATATTGGTATATAATTAACATGTAACATTGTATTAGTTTCAGGTATACAACTTAATATTTAATATATGTATGTATACGTTGCAAAATGACCACCTAGTAAGTCTAGTTAATGTCCATCACCACACATAGTTATATTTTTTTTCCTGTGATGAGAACTTTTAAGATCTACTTTCTTAGCGACTTCCAAATATACAATACAGTACTATTAACTATAGTCACCATCCTATACATTATACCCTAATTTGGGTATACTCTATAACTGGAACTTATGGATTATCTTTTGCTGAAAGAAAAGATCTCTACACTCTCCAAAGCTTATGACATAAATCATCATAATTTAAATTAACGTGGAGAAAAGATAGAATGTCAAGACTTTTTCAGCTTCTCAATTTTAGGTAGGGGTTTAAATATTTTCTAAAAAGATATTTGGCTATTAAAAATTAAAAGCTTGCATTAAAAAATATAGTATTAATCCTTGTTTCTTAGGTCCATGTAATGAAGCTCTGTTTTTGTGGGCATCAGCACTCTAGAAGTACATACCTCTGATCACAGAGTACGTTTGGATAAAGATAAATAACTTTTTTTAAAGATTTTATTTATTTATTTGACAGAGGGAGAGATAGTGAGAGCAGGAACACAAGCAGGGCGAGTGGGAGAGAGAGAAGCAGGCTTCCCACGGAGCAGGGAGCCTGATGCGGGGCTCGATCCCAGGACCCTGGAATCCTGACCTGAGCCGAAGGCAGACGCTTAACGACTGAGCCACCCAGTAACCCCCATAGATAATTTTTTAATACAACATTATGTATTTTGGGAAAATTCCTTAGATAAAATAGCTTTCTTTTTTCTCCATTTCTCCTTCTCAACTTCCTCTTTTCTGGCTCTACTCAACTTTCTTTTCTCTTTGCTTGTCTCATTTGGCAGCATGGTAGAATAACCAAGTGAAAAAAACAAAAAAAGAAAACCAAAAGCCAAAAACCAAAAACAAAACCTGTAAGATGTGGGCTCTACTCCCAGATCTAAAAATTTCTACTGTGTCAGGTTAAGCAAGTTATTTTGCTTTTCAGGTTTTGTATTTAAATGTGCACTATAATTATATTCTCTAACTTCGGACCTGTTGGGAGTACCAAATAAGTATATGTATGTAGATAGATTTTTTTACTTTACACTTTTATTCAAATGTAAAGTATTATTATTTAACCAACCCATAATTTGAACTATACTTTTTATTGTGTTTTATTTTTTGATTCACAATTTATATTTTGGTCTTTACTTATGTTTAGGCATATGCAATGAATTCCACTATTGAAAACAGAAAAGAAATGCTCTACTTAACTTTTACGTCGTTTGATGTATATATTCTATAGGCCAATGGCCCTAATTGGGGGGGAAAACTTTATGATCCTGTCCTTGGCAAACCTAACCTAACTTTACTAGTTACCCCAGCTTATCAGGAATCTCCTTGCAGTGAGACAGGGACACCCAAGAACTTAGATCACTAATACACAGTGGGCAGTGTTTAGGTTTAGAGTTTCAGGGGTTAGAAAGTACTTCAGTTTATCCACATATCCTATGTACTGCATTGGAAACATGGAATTTGGTAAAAAAATACTTGTGGGTTTCATTATAGAAATGTTAAGTTTTTAAGTTCTGTTCTTTCCTTAGAAAATAGAATGAATCACCCTACTATTTATGTGGGCCTTTAAAATATCACCTGATAGAGTGGATTTTTGTATTAATGGAAGATAAACTTCTTTGGAAAAATGCTAAGTTCTGAGCCTAAATATAAACATTAGAAATAAATTCTAGTTTCTGGTTCTTTCCAAGTTGGGGTGAATTAGCCCAGACTGCTGACTCCTTCTCTTAAAATCATCTCAAGAGAAACACTGGCATTCCAGACACTAATGATAACAAAACAAAATGAAAAACAACAAGAAATGTGAGAAATCCATGAATAAACTGAAGGTTGGCTTGACCTAGTATGTGTGTGGGGGAAGTGGGGTGCTGACTGCTGAGGCAGCAGTAAGAGGACAGCTTGGAGTATTTAAAAAATGACCTAATCATACAAATCAAGAAAAAAATTTAAAAGTACAATACTGCAAACTTAGTAGCAAGAAGGAAAACAAAAAAGAAGAATCACAAAAGCAAAATCTCATTCTTTGAAAAGGTTAGTAAGTTAGATTGACCTCTAGTAAGAATAATTAAGGAAAAAGAAAAAGAAGGAAAAAGGAAATGCCAAAACACAAAGTGTAGGATAAAAAGAAGAAATACTATAAGCCCAGCAGAGATAATTTTCTCTTATAAAATTGTCCTAGAAGAGAGAATAAGATTCTATGCTGTGAATTTATTCAGAAAGGTTGGTGTAATCTTGATGCCAAAATCAGATAAGAACAACACAAGAAAATAAAAATAAAAATAAAATTCCTTTTCAGTTATAAATTAATTCTAAATAAAATGATATCCAATCTAAAGTGTATTAAAAATAATATATCATAATAAAGTAAGGGTTCATTCCAGAAATTCAAGAATGGTTTAACATCAGAAAATCTATCAATTTAATTATCCACATAAAGAGTGTATTATTACCTCAGTTCATACAGAAAAGGCAGTTGATAAAGTTCAGCATTTAATATAAAACCTTTTTGCAAACTGTGATTATAGGAGAACTTTCTGAGCTTGGTAAAGGTTATACAGAATAACCATATAATTTACAAATTTTGATATTTTTGTCCAGGACCATTACTACCATAGATAAATGCCAGGTAAAAAAGAACAAAATAGGACTGTTCTGGGAAAATTGGCATGTATGGTCACTCTGATGATATACACACAACAGTAGAGAAAGAAAGAGAAAGAAAGAAAAAAGAAAGAAAGAAAGAGAGAGAGAGAGAAAGAAGGAAAGAGAAAGAAAAGGAAAGGAAAAGAAAGGAAGAAGGGAAAAAGGAAGAAAAAACCCCAAAATCTGCAGTAAACATTATACTTGCCAGTTAAATTTTAGATGTAGTCTCTTTATGATTAAGGATAAGAAGATAAGCACTGGAAGTTACAACCAATGCAATAAGGAAAGAAAAATAAACAGAACTGTATAGCTCATGGGCAAAATATGTACCTGTCATTAATTATAATTGATATGATGATATACCTAGAAATAAATAGGCTCCATAGACAATATATTAGAACACATAAAGGATTTTTAGATAGCTCTAAGACTAGCCTATAAAAATCAGTAGTAGTTCTTTACACAGTCCAGTCGAAAATGAAAAGCTGATACCTCCTGCTATAACAAGTCTCATATGACCTCTGCAGAGAAAATTTTAAAACTCAAGTTAAGAATATACAGGATGAACTGAAATCATGGAAAGACATTTCATGTTCTTGATTGAGTGATACTGTAGGGAGAGCAATTCTCTCCAAATTAATCTATATATTAAAAGCAATCTCATTTAGAATTCCAGATGGATTTTTTAAAAGAATTCAGTAAGTTCACTTTAGCATTTAAATCAGGGAATAGAAGTCCACCCATGTCTAAATAAACATTTAAAAATGTAAAGGGAAGAAACACCTCATCAAATACTAATAATTCAAAGCTATAGAAAGAAAACAATATGATATTGTCAGAAGAACACAGAGACTAATGAAACGAGAGAGTTCAGAGACAGACCCATGTATATATGCCAACCTAATATTTGATAAAGACGACACCACAAATCACTGAATTGTTGAGAAGATGGTGTGGGGGAGATTGACTAACTCTAATCAGAAATATAAATTTGAGTTCCTAAGCACCACCAAATGTAATGGTGTATTCTAGCTGGAATAAAGACAAAAAATGTTATAGCAAAACCATGAAATTAAAGAAATAATACATAATATCTTTGTAATCAATGGCATGGAAAAAAACTGCAAATGCACAAGCCATAAGACAAAATAATTGGTAAATTTGATTACAACAAAATTAGGAACTTCTCTTAAAAGAGACATAAAAGATAAGGTTAAGAGACAGGTAACAGAATGAGAGATGGTATTCATAAATGTTTAAATTTCTGCAAGCCCACCTGAACAATAAATAACTGCCAATAGAAGAATAGTTAATAAATAATAAGGAACATTTTCAGAGGAGGAAAAAAAATTTTAAATGACATAAAGGTATACTCCATCTCACTAGAAATCAGAAAAATAATATGAGATATCATTTATTTGCCTATTATGGCAAAAATTTTCTGAAAGCCAAGGTATAGAAATTGTTATGCTCTCTGGTGGGAAGGCACCTCTGGAGAGCCACAGAGGACCTGCCTATCTAATGATCCCACAATTCCTGAAACCCCTTCTGTATCTTCCTCTTCAGTATCTATTTCTTACGCATGTACTAATGATACATGCATGAAGATATCCATTGCAGTTCAACTTGTAGAGGTGGGAAGTTGGGGGCAATCTAAGTATCTTTCATGGGTAGAGGGCATTATAAAAATGGTGGTTGCTTGCAATGGAGTAAAGTTTAACAAGCAAAAAGTTAGAAGCAATAACTTATATGCAGTAGCATGGAGTGATCATAAACATATAGTCCCTCCTCGCTCCCTGAATCTGGATGTACCCTGGGATTGCCTTGATCTATAGACTGTGGTGCAGGTGACAAAATGCCTCTTCTTTGGCCTGGCAGCCTCTGCTTTCTTCCTCCTGGAAGCTAGCTGCCGTGAAAGAAGTGCTACTGTAGGACCAGCATGCTAAGAGAAACTCAACCACATTGAGAAGCCCTGAAGTATGACCACATGTGGAGAGAGAGATGCCAAGGGGCCTGAGCTGTCAGCCATGTGAGTGAAAAGCCATCTGAGAGCTGGATCTTCCAATCTCGTCTACCCTGGCTGACTCTATGTGCAACAGAGACAAAGAGCCCAACTAAACCCTTTCTAATATTTGACCCACAGATTGTGAGCAAAATGGAGGAATTGTTTAAGCTTCTAATTTTGGGGGTTGTTTACTCGGCAAAAGATAATCAAAATACCACTTCTTTAGTAAGTTGTGATTAGCTGTACAGTGAAGTGATGTATCTATATCTGCATCTATCTATCAATAATGTTGTCTTCAGAGACTATTAAGAAATGTTATTGACACTAAATGTCTCCTAGTTAAAGTATATAAGTATCTGTTATTTCAGCTGTTTTTGCTGCCAGATTGCTGTATCTAATTTCACAGAGTTATAGTGAGGAATAAAATGAATGAAGTAAACCTACTTTGTAATATTGAGGCATTATATAAATATTATTATATTAGTCTCTCTGCAACACTGGGAGAATTAGAAGTTGCCTGCAGCAGCCAGAAACACTAACTTAATCTATTGACTTAATTATAGACACTTTTAAATTAGACTCTGGTCTACAGATTTGAGGGTAACTCTAGGTCTCTGCTGCAGAGTTAAGAGCATAGATTTATTTGCCAATAAATTTTTCTGTTAATCTAAGATCTTTTTCACTTCTTTAAGGTTCTTCTCCAAAAGAAGCTTCCACAAACCTGTTTTTCATGATTCTGTATTTATTGTAATCTTGCGTGTAGAATTATTAATTTTTCAAAAATGTGGATGGAAATATTTAGGGATGATGTTTTGAATGCCTAATCCTGTCAATCCACAGGAAGATAAATATTCTATCACTTTCGATAATTTCTACCTCCGCCATGATTTCGGATGAAGTAAGTGTATCTACTCTAAAAAGATTACATTTGTTTGTAATTACAGGTTGTCTTGGCTCTTTCCGAGCTGGATTGTTCACTGCTGCACGTCAGTCCACTGATGCTCACCCTGATCTCAGGAGCTGTGTCACTGGTAAACATCTCTATCATCCATTGAAAAAAACAAAACCAAACAAAGTAAAAACCTGCGAGTAAATAAAATACACTATGTAAACATAACTAATGTTTAAAATCAACAAATGAGTCCTATAAGAGTTGTGTGCCTAGCAAGGAGATACTCTCAAATCATTTGAAAGCTTTTTTTTCAAATGTAAATGCTGCTCTTTTACTCAAAATAAATATTCCACCTAATGTTTAAGTTGAACAGTGTTCCTTGTTTACTAAGCTTTAGGTCCTTGACTTCAGAATTTTATTCCCCATAGCTTTATTTTATTATTTATCTTTGAAGATTTTATTTATTTATTTGAGAGACAGAGAATGAGAGAGAGCACATGAGAGGGGTTAGGGTCAGAGGGAGAAGCAGACTCCCTGCCAAGCAGGGAGCCCGATGCGGGACTCGATCCAGGGACTCCAGGATCATGACCTGAGCCGAAGGCAGTCCCTTAACCAACTGAGCCACCCAGGCGCCCGCCCACAGCTTTATTTTAGATGTTGTTGCATAACCATGTATACAGTTGATTAATAGGTCAAAGTGGAGCCATGTTTATTCTTCTGATTTTTGTCATCAATCATATAAATGTGAAAAATGTTAGAATATCGAATTAGCCTTCTCCCTCTGAAGTTCATATAGGGCCTACTGATAACTCTGGTAGATTATTTGTCTCTAATTTCCCAATTTCCCAGCTGAGAGTCAAAGACAAAAAGGTGAAATGGCAATGTGTAAATTGGGAGGTTCATCTAGTGAATGTTTTACATGTGGCATTGGCATTATCTAAATATTCATTTATCTGAATTTTTTCTAATTTTCAGTTGGTTGTAATTACGCAAGTAAAACAGTTTGCCTGAACATGTATATTTAATCCATACTTTATTTTTTAATTTACCAGAGGATATGAAAATAATTTTTTTAAAGATTTTACTTATTTATTTGTCAGAGAGATAGAGCGAGTGCACACAAGCAGGGGGGAGCGGCAGGCAGAGGGAGAAGCAGGCTTCCCTCTGAGCAAGGAGCCTGATGTGGGGCTCGATCCCAGGACCCTGGGATCATGACCGGAGCCAAAGGCAGACGCTTACCCCACTGAACCATCCAGGTGTCCTGGATATGAAAATAATTTGATAATTTGCTGATTAGCTTGTCTTCTAGAATTTTAACTAATACCTAATTTTATTAGCACTTTTCAAAAAACTTGATTTTATGAGGACATATGTTGAAAATCTGGTAATTAGGGTTTGGTTAGGTTTGAAACTTTTTTTTTTTTTTTAACATGTAACAAAAACTTCCTTAGGCTACTTTAAGCAAAAGGGACTGTGTTAGAAGGAACTTGCAGAGTTAACTAGGAAGACTTGAGAAACAGGTGGAAATGTGCAGGAACCAAGAGACCATTGCTGTGTCTAATGAGGGGAGAGAAACCATAAATACACAAATGGGCATATCATTAAAGATGGTGATAAAGTGCTGTAACATTTTATGAACAAAATGGCCTTCCTCTAGGAATCACCAGTACTCTGCTATCTATTGCCCAGTGTCTGGAAACCATTGTTTTATGTATTTTGAGCAGAGTTGTATTTATTTAAGGCAGGAAGATAAATCTAGTTGGTGTTACTTCATCTTAGCCCAAATTGGAAGTCCCAAATTCTTTTTTGTATTGATACTGAGTAGTTTTATTTGTTCTGCCTACCACATTTGAATTGTTTTAAGGATCGAATAAGGCAATTTATATGAAAATAGCAAATTACAGTTGTAAATATATACTGTATATATTGTATAGTTGTATATATTTGCAAATATAAAAGTAGTTCCCTTTTGCAAAATAATTACAAAGATTTGTCTAATGGACTCACTTTTTTTTCAAAAAATTTTTATTTAAATTCCAATTAGCCAACATACAGTGCAATATGAGTTTCAGTTGCATGGTCTAGTGACTCAACACCTACATACGACACCTGGTGCTCATCACAGCAAGTGCACCCCCCAATTTCCGTCACCCATTAACCCGTCCCCTCACCCACCTCCCCTCTGCCAACCGTCAGCCCATTCTCCATAGTTAAGAGTTGGCCTGGGACCCCTGGGGGGCTCAGTTGGTTCAGTGTCTGCCCTGGGCTCCAGTCATGATCCCAGGGTCCTGGGATCGAGCCCCACATTGGGCTCCCTGCTCAGTGTTGGAGCCTGCTTCTCCCTCTGCCTGCCTCCCCCCTGCTTGTGCTTGCGCTCTCTCTCTCTGTCCCTCTGACAGTAAATAAAGTCTTTAAGCAAAAAAAAGAAAAGAAAAAGAAAAAAGAGTTGACCTCTTGGTCTGCCTCTCTCTTTTTAAAAAAAGAATGAAATCCTGCCATTTGTGGCAATGTAGATAGAGCTAGAGAGTATTATGTTGAGCAAGGTAGGTCAGTCAGAGAAGGACAGATACCATGTAGTTTCACTCATATGTGGAGTTTGGGAAACAAGGCTAATGATCATAGAGGAAAAAACAATGGACTCACTTTTCTATGAAAAAGTATTTTGAAGGAAGGAGTTGTAATTTTTTTCATTGATTACAGGCTCCGTGCACAGGATTTCTATTAAAGGGTATATAACTCTTTTTTTTTACCATGGCATGTGGTAAAAATTAAATAACTGTCTATCTCCTTCAGCCATTCCAGACCAATGTAGTCCTCTGCCATGCAATGAAGATGGATATAAGAGCTGCAAAGATGGTCAAGCTAGATTCACTTGCATTTGTAAACCAGGTTGGCAAGGAGACAAGTGTGAATATGGTATGTCTACTAAACCCACCTGACTCATCTGGATTGGCCTCCTGGAAAGTTCTCCAAAGGCTTATTGCTTTAAAAATAATTTATTTTTCCCTTCTTAGATATAAATGAATGCAAAGATCCCTCAAATGTAAATGGAGGTTGCAGCCAGATATGTGATAATACACCTGGAAGTTACCACTGTTCCTGTAAAAGTGGTTTTTTTATGCTTTTAAATAAAAAGGACTGCAAAGGTAAGAGCAAGAAGGCATTTACTATGTGAGAGCAAAGTTCGGTTAGAGGAATTTCCCCAGGAAATTCTTTGGACTCTCTGGTTATAAGTGCTTGTAATAAATATACATTATTACCCACCTTGAAGCCTTGTGATACTAAGGGACTGCCTTTTAGTTTAATGTTTATAGATTATTTTGTTATTTATGGAATTTTTCATTGTTTTCTTATTGTATTTTATTATTTATTGAGTATTTTACTATTTTCTTACTGTCTGTGTGTGGTTGTTTGTGCATGTACACGTTTGAATAAAGAGTTTCATTAAAAGGTGATAAAGTGAAGTTTCAGTGCAAGTCCTTGCTTACTGGGGACTTTGCAAAATCATTATTTTTATTTTTTTCAGACACTATAATATTATTTCCTTTATTCTATAAGATAAACAGCTATACAAAGTAATCCCTCATAATCCTTAATAACCTCTTCCACTATATTTCATATTTCCTTTTAGATATACCTGTCAAATATCCAATATAAACCTTTCTTCTTGCACCTTATCTCCTGTTGTGGTTTTGGGAAAGATGAAGAATTAGTTTTCTTTGTCTTTATACATATACTTTCTCTTTATACAGTTCTCATATATATCATTGGTCATAACTATTTTTCTCTTCAGACTTAAATAATCCGTGTCAGTTTAGCTTTTCTTTTCTTTTTTTTTAAAGTTTAGCTTTTCAATAAGTCATTTTACTAGTGTATTTCCTTTGTTTTTCTTTGTCCTTATGTTTCCCTCCAATTTTGACTTTTTTTCCCCTCTGCCTATTTCCTTCCTATTTGACTGTTTTAACTGCCGTAATTAAATCTTCAAATATTTGTGCTACATGTGGATGACTAAAAATGAAATTTTCCAGCCGGAGTTAAGTTTTGCCTTTAGAAAATGGAAATAATTTTCCCTTTCTTCCTTTCCTCCCTCTGTCTCTCCCTCCTTTCCTTCCTTCCTTCCTCCCTCCCGCCCACCTTACTTGTCCCTCTCCTTTTTTGCTATGAGGTGCAAAAATATAGTAAGTTAAAACATAAAGTGTCCTTGTTCAACTCTATCCATATCTGCTTTGGGAAATCCCCAAATTGAATTCATATTCAAGGGATGTTCTGTCCCTCACTGTGCTATAGTGTTTAGTATAGTATAATTTACTATAATATTATTTAAAGTTCAGTTAAATGACTCTGAAGTGAACTACATTAACTAACAATTTCTCCTAAACCATTATCCAATTTGTGACCATACATCTTTCTTGTCTGCCTACTTCAAGGTCTGTTTGAGGTTAGAAATTGAGAATACCAATACTGTTAGAATACTATAGAAAACCAACATAATGCAGGATACCATATGCATTCTATAAGCAAGTAATATCCATTCATACTTCTGCATTTAAATATTTGAGTGGTCTATTCTTCTAAAGAAGTTGTGACTTATATTTTTAATTAAAAGGTATTTAATTCTTATCCATTGAGTTAATATACATGTATATAAATTATTACAAAAAGTCCTCTTACACATAAGAATGTCCCTGATGACCACAAAATATTTTCTTGTATACTTAACTTACACAGACTTTATCCATGAACTAGGTGATAGAAGAATATGTATACAACTATTACAATAGGGCCTTTGCCAAGATGTGGATATGCTTGAGATCAAGTTGCCAGTAACTGTCTACAGTAATTTATTCTACAATGCAAGAATAAAACTTTTCATCAGACATTAGATGTCAGTGTATAGTAATAAAATCAATGTACTATAACTTGAACTCATATGATTTAAATAGTGCTCTGCAATATGCCTCAAACCAAATAATTTTAGTCATATGTTTTCACTTTCTTTTAAAATATAGCTTTTATAGCTCTTTTTAAAAAAATGAATATTTTATTTGATGTAATTGGAGATTCACATGCCGTTGTAAGAAATTATAGAAAGAGATCGCATGTACTCTTTGTGGAGTTTCCCCCAATAGTAACATTTTACAAAACTGTCATACAATATCACACCCAGGATATTGACATTGATACAGTCATGATATAGGAGGATTCCCTTATATAGGAATTGATTCAGTTATTTCTGTTCATGCTTTTTAAAATAGAGTAGTGTCTGAAATTTTGGTTATTAGTCTGTGGAAAAATTAAACTCTCAATTTTATAGAGTACAAAATATATTTTCCATTCTGAACTTGTCTGTCTCCAGAGGGTACAGATGAGAAAAGTTCACTAATAATTACATCTCCATTGAACTATTTCTGTCACTTGTTTTGTTTTTCTCACAGATGCTTTTATCTAGTGACTAGTTGCAATCAGTATTTTGTTTCCTACTCTACCATGTAATATAATAAATGCATCTGAAATTTCTGGATATTAATTTAGCACTAAAATTTGTATTGGAATTTTATAAATACCTAGAGACCTTACTCAATTCCTTTTTAAATTTGAATCACTCTTGAATACTTTAGCCAACAGTAATAGTATGCTGATTGAGCTATTGTCCATTTCCAAAGGAAGACATGACTGATGAGCCACCTCATTTTTATTTTTTATATTTGTGATAATGCAGAGTGAATCTACCTTAAGAACATATTTCAAAAACATGTATTTAAGATATATATTAAGAATATGGTGAATCTTTTCTCCCATTTATTCATGTAATACAACTTGGCAGATAAGAAAATAACTAAAAGCCCTTTCCTTTTACATAACTATGAAGAACATAGCAAACATCACATTCCCTATATGTTTGTATGGAGAAATCATGTTTAGCAAACTAAAACCTGATGATAGAATTAAAATTTTGTTATTCCCAGGCCACTCTGTTGTCTCATTACATATATTAAACTAGATCCAGGAAACACAAATCAGGCATTCTTTGCTAGTATCCTCTGGTATGGGAAATTTTTTTTTTTAATTTATTGGTTTCATTTATAGATGTGGATGAATGCTCTATGATGCCAGACATTTGTGGCACAGCTGTGTGCAAGAACATCCCAGGAGACTTTGAATGCGAATGTGCTGAAGGCTACAGATACAATCCCATATTAAAGTCTTGTGGAGGTAGAGTTGTGGTGGTATCATGTTAATGGTGGAGAGGGTGGGCTTGAACCTTGATTTGAGATTAGAAGCATTGGTTCTGTTTGACATCCACAATTAGATTTTCTAAGATGGCAAGCTCCATGATACAGCTTGGCCAGTTGGGTAGTCGTTGGCCTCCTTCCACAGTAAAAGTATGTAAGACACATGGTCTTTAGGTTTAGAGTTATGCACTCTGTTTGTCCTCTAAGCTGCGTATGAATCGGAGACCTCCCATGTATGATAAAAGCAAAATAAACATACCTTCACATCATTTAAATAATATTCAAAGATAAAAAGAATTTCAACCTGGAAGGAAAAACATACATATATCAAAGAAAGACAAATTTAAAAATCACATAGGTGTTACATGGGTGGTTAGAAACCTTCAGTTTTGGGACGCCTGGGTGGCTCAGTCGGTTAAGCGTCTGCTTTCGGCTCAGGTCATGATCCCAGGGTCCTGGGATCAAGTCCCACACTGGGCTCCTTGCTCAGCAGGGAGCCTGCTTCTCCCTCTGCCTGCTCTGCATGCTGCTCCCCCTGCTTGTGCTCTCTCTGACAAATAAATAAAATCTTAAAAAAAAAAAGAAACATTCAGTTTTATACTAAGTTTTTGATAATTTTCTGTGCTTGTATCCGTATGTCATTTATTCTTAAATAGAAAATGACATAGTTCTGTTATAATTAAATGCATATAAAAGAAAAATCTCATCATAATTAAATGATAACTGAGCTCTAGAAATTTGAGAAGTATTGATGAGTACTCTCAGCGCCTGTGGATTTGGGAGAACCCTTTGGACTCATTTGGCCAAAAGAGTGCTGCCAGGTGTGCATGTAGCATGGAGGTATTAGGGAGATTTTTTTTTATCATAGATATATATGCAAATTATCTCATATCCTCCTTTTAATTTTTAAACATTTCAAGATAAATTGAATATCATGACTAAAACTAATCAATAGTGATTTTCTATTATGGCTATATATATATACAAATATATATACAAATACATATGCATATATATATAGGATGTACCCTTTTAACCATTTTTGAGGGTACAATTCAGTAGCATTAATTACTTTCACATGGTTATGGAGCCATTGCTGCTCTCTGTTTCCAGAAGTTTTTCATCATCCCAACCAGAACTCTATAACCATTAAGCAATAAATTTCCCCTCCTCCCTCCCCCAAACTCTAATCTACTTTCTGAATCTACTTTTTGGGAGATAACCTTTAATCTAATTTCTGTCTCTATGAATTTGCCTAAATCAATAGTAATTTTAGAATAGGTTTTTTTCAAATATATCTGCTTCTGTTGATATTTTGATGTTTTACCTCCTATGCACTCACCAAAAAATATCCCCTCCACACACCATTTCTGTTCTCCCACAACTCCAGATAGAAATTACTATGGTCATATTCAGAGTTATTATTAGCCAACTTCATCATGTGTATTGTACTTTTATACAATGAATGACAGATTTTTTTAAAAAAGATGTATGTATGACACATAGGTACAGTATTCATATTACTTTAATTATCTGCAATTTAATTTTAATGCTAAGAGATCACTAATTTTGCAGTTGTATTATGAGACATTTTATGGGGGAATTTATATGCTACTAATATTTGCATTTATGTACTTGTGAATCTTCAAAGATTGCAGGGTGCATGCATTGAAAATATCAAGGATCTCATGTAGCTCTGAAGTAGACTTTAGCTGAAGCATGTTTTTACAACTTTCCGAGTATGATTTTCTCAAAATATGGGGCTATATAGATTTCACAATATGAGATGTAATAGCACAGTGAGGTTTATTTTTCTTTTTTAAATGATAAGAAATAAAGATACATCCTTTAATTTGTCACTATTAACCACTGCATTATAGAATGTCAGATGTTCTTGATATTATGTAATACCTGATTATATTAATCTTCAGTTAAAAGGGATTTTTTTCCCCTTCCCTTCTCTTCCCTGTCTCCTCCTCCTCTCCCCTCCTCTCCTCTCCCTTCCTTACCCTTCCTTTTCTTTTGTCAAAGCAAACAATTGGAAGGCAATCTCAATGGAATTCATTTAGTTAGAAATGACAGTTGCCTTGAGACTCTCAGTCTTTTTTCCTTCAAATTCAAAAATTGGAAAATTAGTATAGTTGTTATATTTTTATTATTTATTACTGAAAGTTATATATTAAATTTGTTGTTTCACTTGTGTAAATAAAAATTACACTTGTAACCCATTTAAATTCCCATGCCAAGTGTTGAAATGTGATTTCATGTCACAGAGATTCTTTTGCTAAGAATCTAGTATCACTGATTATTTATTTATTTATTTAATTTGGGAGAGAGAGTGAGTGAACACAAGAAGGGTAAGGGACAGAAGGAGAGGGAGAAAAATCTCAGTAAACTCAGCCCTAAGCATGGTGCCTGATGCGGGTCTCGATCTCAAGACCCCGAGATCATTATCTGAGCTGAGATAAAGAGTCAGATGCTCAACCGACTGAGCTACCCAGGCGCCCTTATTATCATTGATTATCTTATACTAAAATCAGAATACTCCTATTGGATTGAACATTTAGAAGATATTAAGATCTATGTTCTCTTTTACCCCAGATGTGGACGAATGCTCTGAGAACATGTGTGCTCAACTTTGTGTCAATTACCCTGGAGGTTACTCTTGTTATTGTGATGGGAAAAAAGGATTCAAACTTGCCCAAGATCACAAGAGCTGTGAGGTAACATTTTGCAATGCTAAACTTACCATCTCTTTTCTAAAATGAGAGACTGGTGTACTTATTTCCACATAGCTGGGTAAGTCAGGATAATACAGATGTTCTTTTTTTAAGAAAAGATGCAGTTTTTTAAAAGACTTATTTATTTATTTTGAGAGAGAGCGAGAGTGAGTGAGCACGGGAGGGACAGAGAGAGAGGGAAAGAAAGAATCTCAAGCCGACTCCCTAATGAGCAGGGAACCCCACGAGGGCCTCCGTCTCACGACCCTGAGGTCACGACCTGAGCCAAAATCAAGAGTTGGACGCTTAATTGACTGAGCCACCCAGGTGCCCCAGGAAAATACAGATGTTCTATAATAATTGCTATAGGTCTAGCAGGCTGTGAGTCACAATCCGATTACTAATTTTGGTCATGTAAGGTATAAATATCGGGGATAATTAGTGACTAGGTTTAAAAAACCCAACTGCAGGGTCGTAGTTCAGAAAGTGCTCATCTGTATGGGCTGTACATTTACAAAGTACAATGTGTATGTTTATTTAAAAATTTTTAAAAAAGGTGAGGTTTATACTTCTCTTTGTGAGAAAAAAATTCTTACCTAGAAACCTGAGCAGAAACATTTTCCTCTGTGTATTTTTCCTTATCCCACTCTGACAAGTGTGATTGCACTTTGGCATGTCGGTACTTGAAAGAGTGCTCATAAAATCTCAGGTGGAAATAACTGTCAGATTAGAATTTAGTGGGGTTTAAAAGTATATCAAAGTTCAGAGAGGTCAGTTTTGTTAATCTGTATCTCTCAAACTTGCTTTTAGTTACTTGGATTTAGTTCATAATTGACCCAACAATTGAATGTTAGGGGTAGTTTTCCTTCACTGAAATAAATAGGTCAACATCTGAAGCTTTTTTCCCTGTATATCAGGATCATGTGTTAGTGATTCTTAGTCCAACTGTTGCATTCTTTTTCACAGGATTATGAGGCAGACAGTAAAAACACAAAACAAAACAAAACCCACCTAAATGGTGATTTAATCATGTGTGTTCACATACCTCTGTATCTGTTACTAGGACAAAACTGTGTCTGTCCAAAAATGTAACATTCAATAAATGCCACCTACTTGGTAAAGGAAGGTAAGGTGAGATATTTGGCATATGCAGTAACTCCAACTGTACTTAATTGAATGCCATGCTGTGTGAATGTCTATTTTGTAATTTAATCTTTTATTATTTTAGTATTTGTAGTAGTTACACATCATCATCTACCTTGGAATAGATTTATTGAAATTCTAAGAGGAAATGAGATGTTGTTTCTGGACTTTGATTTAATACAGTGCCATGTACACAGATCCCCCCCCCCGAATATCCCTATATGTATGCCCAAGAACTTATCCCTAAAAAGCTTTCTGTTTTAATGTTTGCTTTTACTCTTAGAAAAAAAAAAAAACCTGATATTAAATTTAATGACTCTGAATCACTTTTTCTGCAAATTGCTTGGAGACTAACATGGTATCTTAATTTATATTTATCCCATCTAGAATTTCTAGCATCTCCTTTGATGCAGGCAGACTGAGTCTGAGAACCTGGGGAGATGGGGTAGGGGAGTTCCCACAGGACCAGCCAAGGGGTTCCTTGGCTTCCCACAGGATAGAAATCAAATGTGAGCCAGGGAAAGTGAAAGTGGAGTTTATTGAATAGTGTGAATGACAGAGTATAGCAGACAGAGTGTCTGGGGGACTTAGAAAGGAAAAGAGGATGAGTCTCTTTATTATCTAGGGCTAGGGGTTTCTTTGGAAAGGGGTCCAGGGTGTGTGTTCCTCCAGGAATCCAGGGTAGGGTCCCATCAAAGGCAAGTGATTGATAGGTGAGCAATAGGTGTTATTTTAATAAATCATCGAAGGTGGGGGCTATTGATGCCAATGTCAGCTGAGGTTTGTTTGAAGCTAATGTCCTAGAATATTTTTGGGATCTGGGTCTTCTTAGATGTTATCAGATGTTTGGGGCCTAGGACAGAACTCAGAGAAGGATTAACTTTCTTGTTTCCCCCTTGGAGTGGGAACATAGCTTCTTTGGTTTTTACACAGATGCGAGGTGAAATACAGAACATGAGTAAATAGGGCTGAGCAAGAAAACAGCAGAAATGGAGACTTTCTAAAATAGAGTCCCTTCAGCTGCCTTACCTCACCTTCATTATCTAGATTATACATTTTTGCTCAGAAAAATTTTCTTAATAAATGAATGAGTGAATGTCTGAGGTGCTACTTATTGGTATACTAATTCTTCCATGATTTCTGACTCCAAATTTTTTTTTCCCCAATGTAATTCTTAGAAGGCATCAGAGCTGCAGTTAATTAAGGAGATATGTGTTGTTACTGGAAGAAAACGGTTGTGTTTTGGGCTGAGATTTGCAAAGGAAATAGTAAGGACAAAAATATAAGCTACACACAATGAGCAAGACTTTTTAAAACACGTGTTCTGGGATGTTATACTGATAGACTATATAAGGAAGAAAAGGATGTTGCTTTATTACCAAGGCTGTTCTTAATTTAATTAACGTATCACAGAGGATACATTTGACAAGACCATTAGGAATCAGAGAAAGGAATGCCTAACCTGACACAAACAGCAAGTAATAACCTATGCATTTTGTTTCTTTGCTTTCTTTCCTTTTCTCCAGGCTGTTCCAGTGTGCCTTCCCTTGAACCTTGACAAAAATTATGAATTACTTTACTTGGCAGAGCAATTTGTAGGCGTGGCTTTATATTTAAAATTTCGTTTGCCGGAAATCACCAGGTGAGGTACCAATGTCCGTGATAATCTCTAGAGGTAAGCAGGTAAGGACAGAAGATAAGTGACCGAAAAGGTTTGAAATGTGTAAAATTGCATTTCCAGTTAGATAATTTAGGGATATTATCAATCAGATGACTTGGGGAACACTAAAGTTGATTTACCCCTTCACACATGTAATTGTCATGCTAAAATCATTTAAAGGTCATTCTAGGCTGACCTTCCCCAATGATCATTTTACCTTTATCCTTCTTCCTTTTCTAGTGAATATTTATTTACTAAGAAGTTGGGAAAGTAGATTTAATATAATTGTGAAATTTTCATTCTTCTTCATACGTGTTATAAAAACTAAGTAATGAGAAAATACTCAAAGTATTGCTTTTAGAATATAGTTATATACATAATTATTAAGGAAAATTCGTAAGATTGCTTAGGTGGTATTTTAAAAAAACACATCATGATTTTAGTTGACTGAGTATCTTTTCTGTTATTCCTACAGTTAGGTTGCCTCTATGGAAAGAATAGTTGTATTCTGGAGTCATGATTCTACTTTAATTACCATATTTTCTCAGAGTCATACATTGTTGGAACTAGAAAAAAGAAATTGGAATTTTGTTGAATAATGGAAAGGAAATGTATTTGTGACTGATTATAGAGTCCATATTTTAAAATATTTTAATTAGATAAGCATGCATACATACAATTTAATTCATTAGATATATGATTATTCATTAAATAATTCAATTAAATTCATAGAAATCGCATCATTAAGGAACATTGAACTGTATTCTAAAATTCACTGATATAATTGTGCTCCTTCAATACCCTTATCCACCAAGACCTGGTTTTCCCTTTTAACATCTCAGAGCAAATATTATTATCTAGTGACATAGACTGGAGACAACATTTCCTTTGCTAAGAGAATAATGAGAATGAGAGAGAAAAGTGTTAATTATTACACACTTAGGCATGTTCAGGGCGATTCAGTTCTGACAACTCACAACAGTTTGGGCTCTAACATTGGATCAAATAATTATTTTTTCAGTATTTATTTATTTGTTCCTTATTTATTTAGTTTAAACTTTTTATTGAAGTATAGCATATATACATATACAGAAATATACACATATCTTAAATGTACAGCTTGATGAATTTTTTTAGAAACTGCCACTTGGTAAGTAAGCAACACAAAGAACAGCCAGTGCTTTGTTGCTTTTTTCTCCTCCTTTTTGCCAATTCTTGCAACTCTGTTTCCAATGATCAAACATTTATTCTATCCTAAAGTTAACAAATTCACTCATCTTTTTCATTCTACAAAACTTCAGAGAAAGAATGAATTGTTCCCCAATGTATGCTGAAATATTCCAGACGGAAAGACGCAGAACACAACTCTGTATTACTGGGTTAGCATGATTTTGCAAAGAGAAGGAAATTACCTCCATAATAGGATCAACTTCTGGAAGATCCTGAGCATACACAGATTTGGGTTTTGACAAGATAATACATGTTTGACATCAGCAAAATGTGGTGGTTATGAAAGAGAATAGAGGTCCTTATCCTAAGCAAAAAATGAAAAATAAAAAAAATAAAATAATCTTAATTCAGTCAATTACTACTACATTGTTATCTGTCCAACATACTTTACCCCACATGACCACTTTTAAATATTTCTTTGGAATTCTAAAGATGAAAAAATTTATTTTATCAGCCTTTCTTTGTTCCATTTGAAGTTAGAAGTTGTATATGGTGCCCCTATTACTATTACTAGGAGGTAAGGCTGTGGGATTCTTTCTTGCCTTACTTGGCAATTACCTGAAGTCCTGACTTTTTAAAAAGCTTAAATTACCTTTATTTTAGCTTAACTCAAGTGACTAATAGTTATACAACTATTTTTTCTATTCCATGTTTGTCTTTTTTCAATCATTTGGTTTTCTGGTTTCTTGGAAATGTTAATGCTGATTCTCATTACAGTGTCATTAGGGCACTAATCAATACATGTTATTTTTTAATCCAGCATTTCTAAGATATTTCTTCCCCTGTAACAGCTACACATGTATCTAGGTCTTAATAGCAACAGTCATTGCCAGAGCTCAGATACCCCCAAGCACATGGCTAGACTACAGCTTTCAAGCTGTCCTTTCATGTGCTTTAGTGATTTATACAATTAGAGCTCTGGAGAGCTTTTGAAATCAAGCTAACAGATATATTTTAAAGTTTTTTACTTTACGTTTCTTACCACATATGAAGGCTTAATTATACTTGCAGTCATCCATATGCTGTCTATATCTCTGTGAGTGATTCCTTCCTGACATATATGAAATTACAGGGAAAATGGGCCTTTTGATGTATAAACCAATCATGAAATTGTAACATCTTTTACTAATCACTTATGGACACTGCAAAAAAAAAAAAATAGGAATCTTAATGTCAAAATGTCAGATTATATAGTGTATAAAAAGCTCCAGGAGAGATAGAATATATCTAATATTTGTACATGTGTATAAATTCCAGCATTTAAAAGAGGGCCTTCAAAACAAATGCCAAAAAATATGAAAAATTACCAAAGCATCTGTTCACAGGGGGAAAAGACTCCAAGAATAAGCAAGAAAATATAATAACTTGATTTTAAACACACATGGAACCAGAGATAACACATGAACAGTCTAATTCTGCCCTACTCTTTAATTCCAGTAAAGAAAGAAATAGTTGGCTCTTTCAACATACTGCTGTTTGCTAGGGTAAGAGAAAAAGAATAATTATTGGGCTTTCCATTTTTCTCTATTAAGGCTTTCTCTTTGTCCATTATTTAGATTTTCAGCCGAATTTGATTTCCGGACATATGATTCAGAAGGTGTTATCCTGTATGCAGAATCTCTTGACCGCTCAGCTTGGTTCCTGATTGCACTTCGTGATGGAAGGATTGAAATTCAGTTTAAGAATGAATTTACAACCAAAATCACAACTGGAGGCAAAGTTATTAATGACGGTCAATGGAATATGGTAGGTTTTGCATATTTCACAAAGAATATCCCTACTTTGACACAGTTTGTTTAACATCATTAATAACTTATTTTTATACTGATACCAAATCTAAATGGAGCAGGATTTATTTGATGTTGTATGAAGCATATCCCATACACTGTAAATCCTTGAAATAGCCTCTGAGAAATGATAACCTCACATAATATATTTAGGATTTCCTGGAACTGAAATTGTTTTCAATTATTTGCTTGGACTTCTCTATCTTTGACTTTTTACCTTTTTTAGTGGCTGTTAGTGGTGTCTCTCCAATAGGTTAGGGATTATTAGTAGGCATAACAGCTTATGCAAAGATACCACTGACCAAGGACAGCCATACTGAAGAGCCACCCATATTTTTTAAATGAAAGAGAAATACATATAGTAACATAGAAATACACATAAAAAGAGTAATGCATATAGTAATTAACGCAATTTTAAAATATTAGCATATAGATAATCAACTTGTACAAACAGTATACACTAGCTAGTACCAATTAGAGTGCTTAGAAATGAACATTTTTAGATTCTCAGCAAAATTGAAGGGAGAGGCACCTGCATGCTCAGTCAGTTAAGTGTCCAACTCTTGATTTCAGCTCAGGTCATGATCCCAGGGTTGTGGGATCGAGCTCCATATCGGGCTCCGTTGTGCTGTTTCTTTTTTATCCTCCCTGACTAGAATGCAAGCTCAGCGAGGTTGGAAATTTTGTCTGAATTTTTTTTTGCCCCTCGATTCCCAGTAGTGAGGGGCACTAGGCACACAATAGATCTCTAATAATATTTGTTGGATAAATGCATAAAGTACATAGTAAATACTCAACAAATGTTAATTATTATAATTTTAAATGCCCAGAACTAAAGAAGACTGAATCTGCATATTGAATAGGCACTCTGTGTTCTAGAGAAAAAAATACAAACCAAAAATATTAGATCCAGATAATCCGTTCTTTTTTTTAAATTTTATTTTATTATGTTATGTTAATCACCATACATTACATCATTAGTTTTTGATGTAGTGTTCCATGATTCATTGTTTGCATATAACACCAAGTGCTCCATGCAGTACGTGCCCTCTTTAATACCCATCACCAGGCTAACCCATCCCCCCAGCCCCCTCCCCTCTAGAACCCTCAGTTTGTTTCTCAGAGTCCATCATCTCTCATGGTTCATCTCCCCCTCCGATTTCCCCCAACTGCTCTAAAAAACTATTGTCTTTATAATAATAACAGCAATAAAACTTTGGCAATGGCAATTGAATACTGAAGCATGCCTGGATTCTTGGAGACTTTAAGAAATCATACTATCGGGGTGCCTGGGTGGCTCAGTTGGTTAAGCGGCTGCCTTCGGCTCAGGTCATGATCCTGGAGTCCCTGGATCGAGTCCCGCATCGGGCTCCCTGCTCTGCAGGGAGTCTGCTTCTCCCTCTGACCCTCCCCCCTCTCATGTGCTCTCTCTCATTCTCTCTCTCAAATAAATAAATAAAATCTTTAAAAAAAAAAAAAAAGAAAAAGAAATCATACTATCATACCAGCCCTGGACTGCCTTCTTCTAGATTTTTATATGAGGTAGAAAAATATTTTGGTTTAGCCCATTTAACTTTGTATTTGCATTATTTTTAGGTGAAATTAATCCTAAGTGGTAGATTCCCATTTAAAAAAACAGAAGAGAATTTACTAATTATTTTTATTACTCCTACAGTGAGGAATAAAATCTCCTCCTTCTGGTCAGATCAATTTATGTTGTGTAATACAACTTGAATACCTATCATTATCTTCACAGGTTAATTTCTTTCCATTTTCTTCCTTCCATGTGGGAAAGGAATAATAGTTATTCTTTATTTAGTAGTAAGAATTTAATAAGATGCAATCATGGAGCAGTCATGACATAGATAAGGTGCCAAGAGTTTGACAATGAGTTATGGAAAAATTAAAACAGAATCTGTATATGAGTATGCTCTGAAATGTAAAACTTTAGGTAGCAATTTTCTGAATTCTTTAACAAGGAAATCCTTCCTAAAATGTATTATTATATAGGAACCCAGTATATAAGCAGAAAACAACTAAGTTCTTTGGTAGGGGAAAGTTTCCTATTTTTCCATCCTACCAGTTGGTTCAACATGGCAGCCTTAATATATTTCTTGGAACTATTAAACAGAGCAAAATTTTAAAACACCATGTAAAAATTATAGTTTTTACTATATGTATCAAAAAAGTTGTTTTTAAATACATGTTTGATTATATTAGCATGAGCATGAAATCTATTCAGAATTTTAGGTAATTAGCATAACCTGTCATTGAGACTATGATACTTGGAGAATATATTGGGGCAGATGAACAAACTGCTAAATGTCTTTAAGTAGTTTGCTAAATCCTAGGTAAATAAAATCATGGCTCTGCATATAAGAAGAACCCATGCATAAATTTCCCTTTTTTCTTCAAAGACTGTGTTCGTTGTTGTAAATGAGAACCCACATACACAATTACCCGTAATTCAAGAAGGCAGCTGCAAATATATGACACCATGGATGCATTTGTAGAAGAAGAAGGGGGAAAAAAAAAGCAGATGCAATGATTTTTATTTAGACTCCTTTCAAAGAAGAGATGAGACCCAATAGGAAGAAAAGTCACTAGACAATTAATAAACATTACTTTTCATCTCAAAAAAAAAAAAAAAAAAGAAAAGAAAAGAGAATTTTTACATAATCCCTAAAAGTGAGCCTAAAATGGAATCTTTCATGAAGGGATTACTGCCAGTCTATAATGGGAAGAATTCTTTTCTGCAAAAGAGTCATTGCTACTTTCAGCAGCTAATAATTGAGAGATCAGCTTCACCTTAGAATGTGGTACCCAAAAGAGACACTTTCTATGCCTAAGGGATCTGCCAGGAGGTCCATGTTGAGAAGACATGTGAAGTCATCATTAAATTATTTCTTTTTATTTTATTTTATTTTATTTATTTATTTCATTTTTTTAAAAGATTTTTATTTGGGGTGCCTGGGTGGCTCAGTTGGTTAAGCGACTGCCTTCAGCTCAGGTCATGATCCCAGGGTCCTGGGATCGAGCCCCGCATCGGGCTCCCTGCTCCGCGGGAAGCCTGCTTCTCCCTCTCCCACTCCCCCTGCTTGTGTTCCCTCTCTCGCTGTGTCTCTCTCTGTCAAATAAATAAATAAAATCTTTAAAAAAAATAAAAAAAAATAAAAAAAATAAAAAAATAAAAGATTTTTATTTGACAGAGAGAGTCACAGTGAGAGAGGGAACACAAGCAGGGGGAGTGGGAGAGGGAGAAGCAGGCTTCCCGCGGAGCAGGGAGCCCGATGCGGGGCTCTATCCCAGGACCCTGGGATCATGACCTGAGCTGAAGGCAGACGCTTAACAACTGAGCCACCAAGGCGCCCCTAAATTATTTCATTTCTTTATTTACTCACTCATGCACTCATATACTCCATAAGCTTTTAGTGAGCACTTTTAAAATGCTAAGTTCCTAAGTTCAAGGTGCTAGAACTCTGGCAAGAGATTTTCCTTGCTCTTGAGCTTACTTAGTACCTCACAGTTTAATAGCTAGTGCTGCCTTATGAATTAATGCAATGTAATGTGAAATCGTTAAAGTACAGGTAGTAATAAAGTACAGTTGGGCGCAGATGTGGTTTACCAAAAATGGGGCTATTCATCCTTTGACAGCCATAGATTTTGGGCTCTTACCAAAATAATGTCTGCACAAGATCAGATGCAACTGTCAGAGTAATCATTAAAATTCTCCGGCTTCTCCAGATGCTCTCGTTAGTGTATGTAGCTTTGCCACCACATCTTTCGTGTACTCCATCTGTATGCATACAGCTTGATGCGTACACCTCTTCCTCCAGTGTACTGAAGAATACATTTTATTGCCTCATGTCCACAAATCTCCTATCTAAAAATCACCAAGATCACTTTTCAGCAAAATAGAGCAAACAGAATTTTTTCTGATTAATTGATACAAATTGAAAATATTATCTGCTGGAAGGAGAACTTGGATACATTCTAAGTAATACAGAATATATATAAAGAAGGTAAATGTTTACCTGTGAGGCTAACATCTTGCGTTGCAGGCAGTATTTACTAATGAATTATCCATGCATAATAGGTTAAAGGCAGGATTTTGGGCTGGATAGAAGGCAGCTATTCAGTTCCACACATTTTGTCTCCTATGTTTATGGTCTTTGTTAAAAAGAAATTGTTATTTAATGATATGCCCATATTTTGATTAAAATTTCCCTTTATAAACCGAATACAACTTGACATGAAAAATTTAAGAACAATAAGCAAGTCAGAGAAAAACTTTAATCTGGTAATAAATTTGGTGCTGGCTCTTTTAAAAAAACTTTTAATTGGATATTTTAACAATTTATGAATATTCACCCTCACCATATAAATGGGATCTTTTCCTCAGATCTTTCATTAAAAAAATTACTGCATAATATTTTTACCATTTTACAATCTTGATGGCTTGTTAATAAACTGTACTGTTTCAGCCAAATTTATGCAGCCACAGAAATTAGCTCAAATAGATACATATTTTAAGTAAACATTTTAATTGACAAAGTTAAGTTAAATTAATCTATAAACTGGACTATTCACTTGATAGCAGTTGTTTCACTAATTTTAAAGAATTTTAAAATTTCAAATAAAATACTTTAAAAGTAAGCAATTAAAATGTAGAATTGTTTTGTAATTCAGATAAATAGAATGTGTGTAATTGTTAAGTAATTAAAATGGCTCCAAAGCATAGAAATAAATATTGCTCTATTATAAGTCATTATTATATCTCATATTTGGGTATGATTCTAATATGGGTGGGAAATCTGTAATTTGGATCATAATTTTATTCATTTAATAAGATATTTATTGAGCACTTTATGTGCTATTCCTTCCTTTGCATGGTGAGGCTACAACAGTGAATAAAACAAAATCACTGCTCTTGTGTAGCTTGCGTACTAGGGGTGAGATATGAACCACAAATTGCATGAACAAATGGATATGTCAGATGGTGGTTAGTGCTAGGAGGAAGAAACAAAAGCAAGGCCAGGCAACAGAGAGTGACGATGGTGCATGTGCATGTGGAATCAGGAAAGCCATCTCTGATGAGATTACATCTGACCGGAGACCAGGGCACAAATCATGAGAAATCTCTGGGGAAGATGATTCTGTGCCATGTGAAGAGCAAATACAGAGCATCAGGCAAGAGGATGTGATTGTTGTATTTAAGGAACAACGCAAAGGTCAGTGTAGATGCAGGGGAATAAAGGAAGGAGGGAAGGGCAGATGAGGTTAGAAATGTGTTCTGGAACAAGACCAGGTAGGGTCATGGGGACTTTAGTGAGAACTTGGAGTTTATGCTAAGTAGAAAGACCTTGGATGATTGTGAGAAGTGACATGATGTAATTTGCATGTATCTTGAAAGGTAATCCATATCAGGACATGATGGCTTTATGGAAACTGGATAGTAGAGAGTAAGAATGGGACAGATTATGGGGTCATGAGACCATTGCAATAACTCAGTGGAGAGGTGGTGAGAAGTGGTCAGATTCTGGATATACTTTTAAGGTCCAGCCTTCAATTTAAAGTAGATAAAAACTTTTGAATATTCAGCATAAAGAGGGACTCAAAGGCCATGAGATTGATTATTGTTAATCTGTGTTTCTAAACTCTAACTCATCCAGTGCCCACGTATTCATAATGCTCCTTTACTGTCCTATAATGAAATGCATCAACAATGGAAGCTACTTTTGCATATCCCTAATAGAAACCAATATAATGCTCTAATTATTATACAAAGAAATAAAGGAAAGTCATTTATAAGAAAATAATATATATTCCAACATATAAATGCTCAAGTACAAGTACAATATTTGTCAAAGCTTGCTCCTATATGTAGAATAATGTGAAAGCTGTAAATGAAGACTTATGCTGGAGTTTTGTATCGGCAGTTCAAATACTCTAAGTGCATAGATGGTGTTGCCGTCAGTAAAAGTAATTTTCTGAAATAGTGAGAAACTCTTGGTAAAGATCCAAACAAAACAAACATCAATATATCCTTGATTGACAAGACTTTTATTCTTGAAAAATTCAGTGAATGTGTTGAATTGGTACAAAAAATATTTTGTGTTCACATATAGAGAAACTCAGATAAGCCTAAGTATACCCTACATGAATATCCTGTAGGGACGTTCGGGAGATTTGCAGGATATTGAATATTTTATTACTTATTTTGCATGACTGTCCGCATATTACAGGGTGTCCAGCATCTTGCAGTGTCAGCATACATCCTACTTATTGTGACAACTAAAAGTACCATCCCTACCCCCAAATTTTCCAAATGCCCTAGAGTGGAACAGTAGACCCCTATTCAAAAATATTTGCATGACTAGAGGGAAAAGGTCTAGGGGGCTGAGCTCTGGAGTATTATAGACGTTGAGAGAAGAGGCAGAGCCAGCAAGGGAGCCTGAGAGGGAGTGGTAGGAATGTACAGATGCAAGCGAGACTGAGGTTCTAGAGGTTGACTTAACATCTTTCAAAGAGGGAATAGTCATTCAAGTAAAATGATGCCGGTTGGCTCTATTAAGGACAGTGCGCTAACTTTAAATCGGTAAATGTTACCAAGGTTATTTTACTTTAGAGCACAGTTTTCCCCTTCCCGTAGTGCTGCTTTAATAGGACTACTCTTTTGCTTCCATCATTGATTAGTAAAAGAAGAGTTTGCGTTTTGAGTGCTAGTTTTGCATAAGGAGATTGCAGCAGTGGTTCTTTGACTCACCTTTTGGGGAGGATTTTTTTTTTTTTTTTATTGTTGTTTACCATCACTTTCAACCTTTTTTAAAAACCCAAACTACTTTTAGGGCACCTGGGTGGCTCAGTTGGTTAAGTGTCTGACTCTTGATCTCAGTTCAGGGCTTGATCTCAGGGTCATGAGTTCTAGCCCCATGTTGGACCCCATGCTGGGCATGAAGCATACTTAAAAACAAAAAACAAAAAACAAAAACAAAACTACTTTCTGGGGCACCTGGGTGGCTCAGTCGGTTATTCGACTGCCTTCGGCTCAGGTCATGATCCCGGGGTTCTGGGATTGGGTCCCACATCGGGCTCTCTGCTCGGCGGGGAGTCTGTTTCTCCCTCTCCCTCTGCCTGCTGCTCTGCCTACTTGTGCTCTCTCTCTCTCTCTCTGTCAAATAAATAAATAAATAAATAAATAAAATCTTAAAAAAAACCCACAAAAAAAAAAACCAAAAAGAAAACAAAACTACTTTCAAAATTGGAAAAACCCAATTTAATTTTATGTATTGTGCTTCCTTATGACCTTAATTACTTTTTGAATTTTGAAATAAAGTATAATTTGTGTGTCATGAACAGAATACTGGAGGTACTGATTTCTCACACTTTATATTAAGAATTTATTTCCATTATTGATTCCATATGTATACTTTCAGACAATTGCAAAATAAGAACACTTAAAAGTTTTCTAAGATGGGTGCCTGGGTGGCTCAGTTGGTTAGGTGACTGCCTTCGGCTCAGGTCATGATCCTGGAGTCCCGGAATCGAGTCCCGCGTCGGGCTCCCTGCTCAGCGGGGAGTCTGCTTCTCCCTCTGACCCTCCCCCCCCTCATGCTCTCTCTATCTCATTCTCTCTCTCAAATAAATAAATGAAAAATCTTTAAAAAAAATGTTTTCTAAGATTTTGTAGAGTGACTCACTTAATTTATGATGCTGGATTTGAAATATGTATATTATAATTGGTTGTTTAAATTTAAAAGAACAATATTGCGTGTTTTTTTACTTTAAAATATGGTGTTCACTTAATTTTCAATCAAGAATTATCACTTTAAAACACATTTTTACCACCTTTATAGTAATTAGACATTTCAAATGGATTACAACAAATTAATAATTACATTAAAATGATTACTTTGAAAAATTATTTACTGGAATAATAACAGGATTTTTCAATCTTAGCGTTTCAAATGACATGCAGTGATGTTTGGTTGTTTGATAACTTTTGTCTTTTTAATTATAGGTCTCTGTGGAAGAACTAGAACACAGTATTAGTGTAAAAATAGCTAAAGAAGCTGTAATGAATATAAATAAACCCGAAAGCCTTTTTAAGCCTACAAATGGATTTCTAGAAACGAAAGTATATTTTGCAGGATTACCTCGGAAAATGGAGAATGCCCTCATTAGACCGGTAATGATACAAGTTTCTATCATTCATCATGGATGAATTCCTCTTGTCCATAATAGATTTGAAGATGTGTTTTTCTGAGAGTCAAAGAAGTTATTTTGTTGAACATACCGTGACAACTTGAAGTGAACAAGGAAAAATAACACAGCGATCCTTGAAATTATATTAAGGAAATAAGAAAATAAATGTAGTGTTTTTGAGCCCATTTAAATCCCCAGCGTTACTCATGGGGAAGTAGATTTTTTTTCAATTCTCAAGCATCAATTCAGTGTTAACATGATAACTGTCCATATTCAGCAATTAGAAATATAAATACATGTACTGGAGTCCAAAAATACAACATTTTGTAGAAGCCAGTCAAAGAATTTTCTTAGGTCTATTTTAGGACTTAAATTTCGGAGATAAAATAGCATATAAAGGTGGAACTTCTTTAAAAAAAATCTTTGCTGGGAGTATAACTTCAGCCTATCATAAATTGAAGTTACATATAATAGATGATTTTCTGAATATGATGTTTGTCTAATAACTGTAGAATAGGTCTCATGAAGGAGACTAATCACTGTCCTTGAAGAGTTTTAAAAATTTCATTTGAAGTCATGGGCCTGTCAATTATACTCTCTGATTTAACTTAAATATTTACTATTTTATATCCATCTTTTACTCATGGCAATTCACAGTTACCTTAACTTTTGAAAGATTTCTGCAGTATGATATAAAACCTGAATTAGTTAACCCATGTCAGAGTGAATGCATCTGTTCCTTTGAAATTGATAAATCAAGACATTTTAAAAGTAAAATAAATTTTTCAAAAACTATTTATGAAATGGCTACTATGGGTCTTGAGTCTGCCTGGATGCTTTGATGGAGACTAAAGAGTGCAAACACTTTTGTTCCTGAAGAGGTTCAGTGTCTGATGGCAAAACAAACCTATATATAAATGCAGTTAAAGAAAGCATCTTACAGCCCAGGGCCACGGCTAGAAGCGTATATGGAAGTTGAGAGCAGAAAAGTTATTTCTGGAGGATAGAGGAGAGGCAGGTAGGGCTTGAGGGGCTAAAAATCATTAGGATCCCAGTGGAGGTCTGTGATGGCATAAACTCACTATAACTGAAAAAGACTGCCCATCTGAAGGACACCTTAAAAAATTAGATAATATTCAAAATATTTAAAGAATTTTAACATATCAACAAAGAGAGGGTTTTCCCTCTAAATGAAAACTGCATCTGTAATCAATTAAGTCATGTATGAGTCTGACTCTTTTAAGATGTACTCCTTGACCTATATTTTAACTTGTTAGATAACCCCTCGTCTAGATGGATGTATACGAGGCTGGAATTTGATGGATCAAGGAGCTTCAGGAATAAATGAAATTATTCAAGAAAAACAAAGTAAACATTGTTTTGTCACTGTGGAGAAGGGTTCCTACTATCCTGGTTCTGGTGTTGCTCAATTTAGCATAGATTATGGTAAGTGATTTCTCATTTTACTTCTCTTTTCTCATTAATGACTACATTTATTCATTGACAAACAGCAAAAATGCCTTCAGTAAACATTATTGAATACTTAACTATGTGCCAGGCATTGTGTTAGGTTTATTCATATAGCTATATATTTTTTATTAAATTTTTGCAGTATATTGGGGTAAAGGTAGTAGAATATGCTTATGTTACTATTTAAAGATTACTTAAAAAAAGATTATTGGCACATAACTTGATTAATTGCAAGTGAATTCAATTAACCTATTTTAAGGTTCACCAATTTCTCAGTTGTGTTGAGTCTACTGATTAAATGCTTCAAAAGGATTCATCTTCATTTCTAAAATTTCAATTGATTGTTTCTTTTTTTTTAAGATTTTTATTTATTTGCGAGAGAGAGAATGAGAGACAGAGAGCATGAGAGGGAGGAGGGTCAGAGGGAGAAGCAGACTCCCTGCCGAGCAGGGAGTCCGATGCGGGACTCGATCCCGGGACTCCAGGATCATGACCTGAGCCGAAGGCAGTCGCTTAACCAACTGAGCCACCCAGGCGCCCTCAATTGATTGTTTCTTAAAATGTCTAACCCCTTGTTGAAATTTCCCATCTGTTCATATATGTTGTCTACATTTCTACCTGAGCCTTCAACTTATTAATCATAATTATTTTAAATTCCCTGTCTGATAGGTCCAATGTCATGCTGATTGCTTTGTCTCTTGACCATGTGTTATTTTTCCTTGTTTCCTTCGGTATTGCATGATTTTTGGTTTAAAAAGTAAGCATCTTTTGTAGAACAGTAGAGGCAGGTAAATAATATATATGTCTGGAGATGAGCCTATTTCTGCTTTTGCTAGGCCTTTTGTAAAGGGGTTGAATCAGTCTAGTCAAGAGTTGAACTGCTTAAGCTTTCTTGTTTCCATTGAATACTCTTCAAATTCCTTTATTGTTACCTTGTGCTTATGGTAGTGATTGGTTTGCCAGAGGATTTTTCTTAATAGCTGATCTATCCTTAGCTTTAGGTATTCTGTTTATGATATGCCTCAAGAAAGTGTTTCTCCATGGTCTTGCTTCACCCTAAAAGAATGCTCTTGTTACTTGACATTTGCTAGCATGGTGGCAGGGTGTGGGGAACATTCTCTAATGTTCTGATACAGATTCAATTTTGGGCAAGTATTGTATCCCTGGGTCTCAGGGGTGTGAACTTTTCATTGTCCCCCTCCCAACCACCTGTGAGGGAGCTATCTAATGGTCAGGACTCCAGATTTTTTCTGCTCCTTCTCCATGGTAAATGGTTTTTGGTTGGTTGTTTTGTTTTTTCCAGTTTCCTTTCCCTAACCTGTAGATGCAATGGGTCTTTGCATGTGTTCTAATGGCCACAATGTTTGTTACCTTTTCCCCAGTGCTGTAAGGCTTTTGTTGCATAGAGAAGACAGAGAAGGAATGGACTTTGTGCTTTTCCTGCAGGTTGCTGCTCCTCTTTTCCAGGCTTGCAGGAGGAGGGAAGCTAAATAATTGGTCTTTGGTTGTTGTTGTAAGGGTAGGAGCAGTGCTCTTTCCAGTTTCCTATAGTCTAAGCAGAACAGGAACTCCTGCCAGACTGACCCAGGTTTTTGCCTTTACAAATAGTATTTCCATAATACCCTTGGACATACATCTTTATACCTTTATATGATTAATTCTGTAGGAGAGAATCTTAGATTATGTCCACCAAAGTTTATGCAGATGTATAATTCCTACTGCTCAGTTAGATTCTCTTCCAAAGATGTTTTATCAATTTATACTTATTTTTTTTAAGATTTAATTTATTTATTTGACACACACAGAGGGAAAGAGATCACAAGCGGGGTGGGGGGGTGAGGGGGCAGAGGAAGAGGGAGAAGCAGGCTCTCGGACGAGCAGGGATCCTGATGCAGGGCTTGATCCCAGGACTCTGGGATCATGACCTGAGCCGAAGACAGCCGCTTAACCGACTGAGCCACCTAGGTGCTCCTCAATTTATACTTCTACCAACAGAATAAGAAAGTGTATGCTTGAGATTTGTTTCCAATCTGAGAGTTGAAAAATTAAATCTTGTAGTTTTAAATATTATTATCCCAATTTCTACTGTTAAATATCTCTCCATGTGTTTATTAGCTATTTTTATATCTTAATTATCTTATTAGGTTCTTTGTCTTTTTCTGTTTAGGAATTCATTATTTGAGCTACTAATACTTTGTATTATAAATTTAGTGTTAATCTGATATCTCTGCTTTAATGAAAAATTGTATTTTAAATGTGTTTATTTGCAGTCTAAAAAAGTATTACTACAGTTTTAAGGAAGAATCTTACACTAGTACTTTTTGTGTTCTTAACATAAAGTAATGCAATGTCTTTAACTTTAGTTCTGTTCTGTATATGAAGGATTTAAAAAAAATTTTTTTTAATTGGGGCTGATGACTGAATATAAGAAAAAACTAGGCCCACAATAATTTGCTCAAAGGAAAAACTCTCTGAAAAGAAAATGAAAGTAAGAGTTCTATTGTATCTGAAAAAAAATTACTTTCATAAGCAATTAGTTACTTCATGGATAACTTGAAAGTGACCTATTTTTAAATTAATATTTAATGTTACATTATAATTTCTGTATGCTTGCATGTTTTAGTTTGAGTTCATTAATACCTTATAGTAAATTTACTTATTTCAAAATGATTATATTGTATATAAATACGCATGTATATAAATGAGTGTATTGTAAATAGGGACGTTTGGGTGGCTCAGTTGGTTAAGCGTCTGCCTTTGGCTCATGTCATGATCCCAGAGTCCTGGGATCGAGTCCCTCATCAGGCTACTTGCTTAGCAGGGAGCCTGCTTCTCCCTCTACCTGCCGTTCCCCCTGCTTATGCACACACTCTCTCTGACAAATAAACAAATAAAATCTTAAAAAAAAGATGATAAATGAACAGTGCAATAGCATTTGATGTGGCTAAATGGAAGACCATCTTGTCAAGGGAAAATATTTTCTCCACTCACATTCATCTTTTCAAAACCTATAAGTGGTATTTGAGGTATTATTTTATATTACTTCATATTAAATAAGGAAAACTTCACTCAAAATGTGAATTAATATTTTTTTAAAGATTTTATTTATTTATTTGAGAGAGACAGAGAGAGAGCATGAACGGGGGAGGGGCAGAGAAAGAGGGAGAGTGACAAGCAGACTCCCTGCTGAGTGGGGAGCCTGACGCAGGGCTCGATTCCAGGACCCTAAGATCATGACCTGAGCCGAAGTCGGATGCTTAATCGACTGAGCCACCCAGATGCCCCAGTACTTTTAGGAATTAAACTATTTTGGAACATATCAATTCAACTATTTGTTGAGTGACTACTGTGGAAAACAAAGTGGTCATAGAGACACGTAGGGCTTGCACTCTAGTGGGATAGACAATTAACCTAGTAATGAAGAAAATGAGTGTTAACTATTATGACAAGAGAATCGCAGAAGAAGAGTTCCTGTTAGAATTTTAGAGTTAACTGTTGATTTCAGAATATTTCTCTACTATCAAACTCCCCAAACTCCCCTATTTGTATAAATCATATTTTTCTTTCCCACTGCTTTGAACTGAGCCCTTTATGGATGAGGAATGGTAGGGTGGTGATGGCAGCCATATCCAAATATTCCCTCAGAACATTACAATAAATTTGTTGAATTTCCTTCTAAATGTGTACTTTAAAATATGACCACTCTGAGATTGGACCAATGGTGAATATGGAGGCAGAAAGAATACCTGTAAAAGAGCAAACAGGAGAAATTCATAATCTTCTGAAACACCACATCTCGAATTTTATTCTAGGAAGACCAGAAGGCTGGGGCTCCATTTTTGTGTGTCTTGCCTGCACTTAAAAAAATGGTTCTTGTTTTTTGTTTTTTTGCCTTGGTTTTATAGGTCACTGAGGAAGGAGAATGAAAACCTTTAGTATTCCACAAAAATGGCTCTGAGTATTAGTAAGATTGTAATAATTCCTTCTGGCATACTTTAGGAGTACACTGATCCTGCTTCTGTTTTATTGTTTAAACAGGTAATATATCCAATGCTGAGGACTGGCGAGTAAATGTGTCCTTGAACATTCGCCCATCCACGGGCACTGGTGTTATGTTCGCCTTGGTTTCTGGTAGTACTGTGCCCTTTGCCTTGTCCTTGGTAGACTCTGCCTCTGAAAAGCTTCAGGTAACTTCACTAAACTTTTGTGATTCTTGTTTTGTTTTGTTTTTTATCTGTAAAATGGATATATTAGCAGTATTTACCTCGAAGTGTTATTTTGGTGATTAAATGAGATGACATGTATTTAGCACAGTCTCCAGCACATCAATAAGGACTCAAAAAATGTCCATTATTATTACTTTTTTGCTGGCTTATTTCTAAGGTCTGATCCAGGAAGTAGAGAGGAGAAAAGCCTGTTACTGTGCATCCACAGCCAAGATCAGGCAGACTCACACACAGGCTGCCTGGACCCTTCCCAGAGTACATAGAGATCCACCTTTATTTAAATCCTCGAAATATTATGGGAGTCATAGTCTGTACTAACAAAATAAAAGTGAGTCTGATTAAAATTCAGTCTTAGATATTCTGTGCCTAATTATGTTTTGTGCTCTCTGGCACTCTTAATCTTTTCTCCCACGAGTAAATTAGGAAGGACTGGAGAAAACTAAAACCAGTCCACCTGGCTTCTTGCTGGCAACTCTCATTTGAAATTAGGAGGACGAACAGGAAAAAACTCTTGGATAAAAGGAAACATGAGCGTTATCAGAAGATCTGTATTATTCAGCCTTCCACCAGAGGCTAATAGTTCTGACCATGTGTTATCCACAGTGGATTCCAACAAGTTAGAGCAAGAAGCTTGTGTCTGAGCCAAGGTTGGCTTGGATGTTCTCTGTAGCTTTTAGAAAGAAGCATATAATTGAATAATGTCTGTAGCAATAAAAAGGTATGTTGTTTTCAGCTCAACGATGATTGCAGGGAGTTTCTAGTAGTTAAGCATAAGCCACCTAAGGAGATCCTACTGAGTTTTTATCTCTAGTCTACCACAGGAGCTTGCTACATTTAGATTCCAGCTTTTTGTTTACTTTTTTTTTAAAACAAAATGGAAATCCTATCTTCAGCACTATATCCCTGCAGTAGAGGAGATTAATGCATGCCACGTCTTTGATATTTATTTTATCTTTTGTGTTTGACTCCGTGGCTCCTTTTTTTTTTCCTCCATGTCAGATTGCCTTCTCAATATCTGTGTACAGTATTTCATAACATAATTCCACATCCTATTGATCATTCTGGAACAGTTTGTCTGCTGACCATTTTAAGATTATTAGTGAGTTCAAGGATATGGATATGTAATAGTAACAGATTTCCTCAAATAACCCGTATTTGCGAAGTATAGACTTGGAATCCTAAGTAGGTACTTCAGACTATCTTTCTACCATCTCATAACAGCCATGTTCCTAGTTTTGATGTTCTTTTCTTTTTCTTCTTAAGATTTTATTTATTTATTTGAGAGAGAGAGCAAGAATAAGCAGGGGGGCGGTTGGACCAGGGAGCCTGACATGGGGCTCGATCCCAGGTCCCTGAGATCATGACCTGAGCTGAGGGCAGACGCTTAAGCTACTGAGCTGCCCAGGCGCCCCTTGATTTTATTTTCTTTTTACATTTCCTGTATACATATATAAGGTATATGCATAGATCCCTGTCAAGAAGTTAAGTAATTCTGTGTCTCAGCAGTTTGAAAAGTTCAGCAAAATGAATACATTTTCTCTTTTGAATATCTTCTGGCAAATACTCCGTAACTTACTGCTGGTGATCCCTGACTTTCCCCTCTCAGGACTTTTTCACTTATTTTGCCCCAGGTCTTAATAGGATTGCTTATGTGGCACACACAGACCTTTCAGTCTTGCTGGCATGTACTTACTCAAGCACTTGAAATTTTCCAAGCCTTTTCCCCAACAAAGAGTGATTCAACTCCTTCATTTTTCACATGTAAGTTTTGAAGTTAGGAAGGCTAACAAACAGAAAAATAGTGCTTAACACACGACTTTAGGTTCCCATCTTTGGTAAAACAACTTGGTGTATTGAATTTTCTGAAGCCACTAACCATTTATATCTTAGCTGAGCCTGAAATTTGTAAAACTAATGTATTTTTAAAAATTGTGATGTGACTCAAAAGTCACTCTTAAGTGGCATTACCATCAATACTTGCTTATATTGAATCTTTGCTCTGTTTTTCAGGATATCCTCGTATCTGTTGAAAATATGATAATGTTTCAGGTAGAGGCCATAAGTCTGTGTTCCAGTCAACAATTCCATCTGGAATTAAGAGTCAACAGAAACAATGTGGAGCTGTTCACTCCACTTAAAAAAGACATCATCTCCTCTGAAAACTTTAAAGGACAGTTGGCCATTTTGGACAAAGCAATGAAAGGGACAGTAACCACTTACTTGGGTGGCCTTCCAGGTATCTTCTTACCTTTTTTTTGTTTTGTTTTCAGAATTATATTTAAAAAGTTTTAAAAAGTTATATTTTTAATCAAATTGATAGTATTTTAAATATGTAATCTTAGCAAAAGGACCTTAGAAGGGAAGACAAAATTCCAGTATCCATTTTTCTTTTCCTGGGGATTTATATTGACATTTTATGGGTATATTTTGTTTATTTATTTTTTAATGGTGAACTAAAACTAACCCAAGTTTTGTTGCATTTGACTATCCTAGTTAGAAAGTATTTATTATTTCAGTTCATTCTCACAGTAGTCTTATGAGTTCAATCTTTATTCTTTAATTCATCCATCATTTACCTTTTATTTATTAAGAACCTACACCCCAGGTGGTAGGGCTATAGTAATAAGCAGATATTGATTCCTGCTGCTAAGCCTTTTATAATCTAGTACAGAGGCAGACGTCAAATAACCAATTAAGAAAATATCAGAATAATTAAATTGTGATAACTTCTATGAAGGAAAAGTATGAATTGCTTTCAGAGCCTAAAAATGGGGACTTGGCCTGGTTGTGCCAGCCAAGAATGAGCTCTCTGAAGAAAAGGCTAAGATATAAATATGATAAATGGAAGTGTTAAATTTAACCAAGTGATAGGGCGGGAATTGGAATTAATATGCAAGTAAAAATGGTCTATGTGTGGGCAAAATGGGGGGTGGATACACTTGAGGAATATATAGACGATGAGTGTGGTGAAAACACATTGAGCAAGGGAGATACAGGATGAGGAAGCTGAGAACTGGGTGTGTGTCGGGGGGTGGTTTGTAGACTTGGTTCGGGGTCCTGAGTCTTATTACAAGAGCCATGGGAGTCTTTAAAAAAATTTAGACAGGGAAATTGTATATCACTATTATCATTTTAAAAACCCACTCCACGTGATGGATGGAGATGGACAGGTGGGAGGCAAAAGTGGGATGAGAGGAACCGGGGACTGCTGAAGTGGTCCAGATGGAGAAGCAGTAACAGTAACAGAAGCAACAACTATACTGCCATCAATCAGTGCATAATAAATAGTATGGCATCGTTGAAAGTGCTTAGGAGGGATCAACTTATTTAACTTTCAAAATAGACCTGTGAGTCAGGTGCTATTATTATCCCTATGTTACAGATGAAGAAGCTGCTGGACTAGGATGATGGCAGTGAAGATGGGGCACAGTGATTAGATGGGAGATGCATGTGAAAAACAACATTAGTAGGATTTAATGATTGAAAGGCAGGTATAAGGATCTCTTTCTTAGGTATCCACCATGAGGAGTTGTGTGGGTGGAGAGTCCGTTTACCATAAGATGGAGAAAACTGGAGGCAAAGCACATTCATCTCTGACTTAATATTGGAAAATATGAAATTGGCATCAACATTTTACTTTAAATGGCAAAAAATAATTTAGGCAGAAAGTTTTTGAGAAATATTTTCAAATACCATTTGCAGGTTATTCTCAGGGAAAATTCTGAGTTTGATGTCTGGACTTCTAGTAACCTTCATTTTCTTACTTTTAACTGCTCAGGGCCTTCATTTTTCATATATGGAAATTTTATGTGGGTTTTTGTGGGATAGAAGTAAGGATGCTCTAAAAGTTATGGATAGATAGATAAATAGATAAGTTAGCATGGTTAATAGAAAGTTAAGTTACTGTGGTTAATTATTAGGAAGTATAATTTTAGTTCAAATGAATGAATTCTATATTGAAATCCACTTACTACCTTATTGCAAATTAGTTGAATGCCATTTTAGTAAATCAGACAAGCAATGAAAGAGTTGAAAAGAAGTAAAGCTATTAAATTTTAATGGTTCCAGGACTTTGGCATCAGCACTGAAGATTGACTTCAGGCAAGATGTGTTTAGAGTGAGGAAAATTGAGGAGAACTGGCAATTGAGATATTAGGAGTGTAAACAGTGGGATAGGTAAATTACCAGTTGATATGCAAAATAGGAATATTCAATTGCATACTATGAATTAGAAATCAGGGGAAATTGATATTTCTGAGGATTTTTATAATAGTGGCATAATCTTGATGTTCAGCCAGACTTGAAAGGGTTTCATAAAGAATGCTGTGAGCCCCTAGAAAAGTATGGACTTTATTCACTGCGTTGGCAAATTAAAGGTGGAAAATTTGACCTGTATGTTTTTTGCATAAGGTACTAAGAAAAAGAATAAAGGCTGAAAAATGTCCATTGGGAACTAAATTCATGGGGAGGAGATGCCGAAAAAAGAAGCAAGTAGAGAGATGGATGTTATTAAAATGAACCATTGTTCTTAGGAATTCAAGGGTGTTACCAAAGTATTAAGTCTGATGAGGAGAGTGAAAGTGTCGAAAGGCCCAAAGGCCCTATTCACTGAAGCATTATTAAAATTATTTTTTGAACACTAAACAGTACATAAAGTGAATTTCCTATCATGACCTGACATTGTATGCTCAGCAAGAAGCTATTTTTAGGAAAATATAGAAATCTGCTTTTATTCCAGCAGTAATAAAAGAGATACATTTATCACAGCATTTTAAAAAGATTTCCATGTAGCTATAGTTTGGAGTTGAAAAAATGATTTAACAGTGCTTAAACTGTTGCTCAGATTTAAGAAGAAAATAATAAAATAGAACATCACAGGTAAGAATATGCTCTTTTTTATTCTTTTTAAAGTGTTTATCTATCTTAGGTTTTAATGAGACTGATTGTGTTTATGAAGTCAGAGGAACTGATGATATGCTGAATCCAGTGTTAAGCACAATACCTTATATACATAGAAGTCACTTAATATAAATTTATTGAATAATTACATTATTAATTTTTCCTTTACGATTAGAATTTGGTTGGAAATGGGAAGTTTGAATAGTTCCTCTAATTGTAAGCAAATAAGATGCCAAAAGTCTTGGGTTAATATTTTAATATTCTGTTTTTACAGATATTCCATTCAGTGCCACACCAGTGAATGCCTTTTATAATGGCTGTATGGAAGTGAACATTAATGGTGTTCGGTTGGATCTGGATGAAGCCGTTTCTAAGCATAACGATATCAGAGCTCACTCGTGTCCATCAGTTTCAAAAAGCACAGAGAATTCTTAAGGCTTCTTTCCTGTACTGATAATACATTTTTCCTGTATGTAATTATGTTTCAATAATAGCTGAAGGGTTTTTCCCTGCAATGTACAGACCTTGATTTTTTATGGTACTTTGGCTTTCCTGGAATTTTAAAAAAGGTCCTTTTTCAAGAAGAACAAGATCCTCTTGTGGTACAAATCACATTTAAAAATTCTTACCTCTATTGCTGCCTAGAAATTAAATAATGAAATATATAAACATTTCTAATTTGAATTTTTTGCTACAAATGACATTACTTCATTAAAAGTAAAATGTAATTTTTTTAAAGATTTATTTTTGAGAAAGAGAGAGAGAGAGAGAACAAGTGGGGGGAGGGGCAGAGGGAGAAGCAGGCTCCCCTCTGAGCAGGGAGCCTGACACGGGACTCGATCCCAGTACCCTGGGATCATGACCTGAGCTGAAGGCAGATGCTTAACCGACTGAGCCACCCAAGCGCCCAAAGTAAAATTTAATTTTATCACCATGACCTAGTGCTGAAATATCTGTGTTTTTTGGAAGGCAAGGAAGTAAACTCAAACAAGAGTGCATGTGACTAAATACTATTGATCATAGCAGATACTCTTTATTTTTGTTTTTCCCTAATGAGGGCAGAAGGAGAGACAGCGGCCTATCAAGAATTAATTGAGTGGAAGGCTTTAAAGCTTTACTCCAAAAATAGTTCCTCAGAGGGACTTTCACTTAGCTTCACATTTGAGCCAGTAGCTTTCCTGAATTAAAAACAAGTGGGACAAATTTTCATAAGAACACATGAATCTTGCTGGTTAGTAATTGGATTTTATGAGGAAGACATACTAGATTGGGCTGGAATGGGTGTCAAAACCCAGGATGGGTACAGTCCTTAAATTTGGCTGTGGGTCACGCAAGCTTGGGAGATTAGAAAAGGCAGAACCTAAGATGGAAAGAACGAATGAGAGAATGAATAATGTGGAAGTGCATAGTTTTCCTTGAATCCAACTTTAATTACCAGAGTAAGTTTCCTGATGTGATTGTTGAAGGACAAAAAGAACTCTGAAAGCTAGAAAAGGTATAATGAGAGGATAACCACAGAAGGACATAGTTAATATTGTATCTTTGGAGTAAGGGGGTTAGAGTGCCACGTACTTGTTGGTAATGCATTCCAAGTGGTAGTTTTATCACTCCCAAACCTACCAGTCACATTAGGTATGGATCAGATGTCTCAATTGATGGTTTTAGAAAATAAACTTTTTTTCTACTATAGATATTTTTATATCACATGAAACAATACATTAGAGTATATTGCAAACATTTATGTGACTAATATCTATATTCTGTCAACTTTTTGAACAGAACATAAAATCATCTAACATACATGTAAGTCTTCCTGCAGCACAGTGGTTCTTTTGTTGAAAGATATAAAGCTCAAATATTTGATCAGTAGCTATGGTTGAGTTATAGACTGGAGCTCAGAAATGGAAGAAAAGCAAAGGTGACATATATTGAGTGTTTGATACCTGCCAGAAATTGTGCTAGCTCATCTTCCTCGATGTAATCTTTCTCCCAATTTACCACCATGTACTGTGGGTGATGAATTTCAGCAAGCAACTATTGACAATTATGTTGGTGTAAAAAGCAAAGAAGTAGAAAAACTGAAAGCCTATGAAAAAGGAAGAAAAGAAAGGAAGGGAAGGAAAAATGAATTTTCTTTGGGGAGGAGTTTTGTGATTCTTGTTTAATTATGCCCAGATACAAAGACAACTACAGGGATCAATTCCACACTTCCCATCAGAAACAGAAAACTTCCAACATGCAGTGATCTTCAAAGAGGCTCCAGAGACCCATTTATAAATTTCATCTCTCTCTGAGATGCATGTAGGTATGGCTTAGAGAGCTGGGTGAGGAGGTGTTTCTTACAAATGAGAATCTGACAATGATCTTACACATGGGCTACTTGCTATATCTGGCTTCAGGCTTTCCCAGAGAATTTATATTTGAAAATCTGATCTTCTGCTGTGGAACAAGAGAAATCCTCTTTCCTGCTAAAGGTTTAAATGGTGGAGTCTAAAATCTCATTCTGTAACTAATCTCCAGATGGAAAAACCATTTGATACATCTGATCTCTTCAAGTAGATCTTAAGAGAAGAGTGGATTGGGCCAATATTTAAATGACATACGAAGAATCTAATGTTATTATCTGGAGTTCCCAAATAATAAATAAATATAATAAGTTATTTTACATAAATATAAATAAGTATAATAAATATAAAAAATTTAATTAAACAGAGTCATATTGAACACTGGGGTTGAAGCTGGAGCCTTCACGGATGAGTGTCTTACTGAGCCAACTCAGCATGTACAAGGCAGCCACACAGGACTAACAGCTGGCTATTCTAGAAGATAGATACAGCTGTATCCTTCTTTGTACACATAGCTAGCAGGTTACCAGGCAGGGAGGTCTGGATCAAGAGTCCATGCCCAAATTCGAAACTCTATACTGCTCCTCTATTCTTACTGGTCATCCCATCACTCAGTAAATGCTAATTGTTGGAGTGAACAAATTCTGTCCTCAGCTCTATATATAACTTGCTGTGTCTTTGATTCTCAGGTGATAATATCATCGATTTAATGGTTTTGAAGACAAATGTGATATTATTTAATTAAATTAAGGAAATGCTGACAATGACTCTGAAAACTTTTATAATTAGAACTCTGGGCTACATATTGTCCTAGGAAAACAATGGAGAAAATGCTCTAGTCCTGCCATCAAAAAATTCAGTCTAGGAGATAGCAGAGAAATGGGACAAGTAATTCAAATATGAGCCTGAGTTTGGTAAGAGCTGCAACAAAGAAATAAACTGTATGCAGGGGGCTATGGGGAGGAAGAAATGGGTTACAAATGGAAGCTTAGAGATGTGCTATTTGAATTAGGCCCAATAAAATATATATGAAGTTCCATTTCTCTGCTTCCAAGTCCTCTTTCCCACAATGTTTTCAGATAATCTCTCACACAGAGATCGTATTTCACAATAATTCTTAAAACCTCCCTTATTGCATGAAGTACAGATAATTAATCCTAGCTTTCAAGGGCTTTCCTCATTAAACCAGTAAATCTCAACCTGAGAGCCTTCTTAGATTCATTGACCCCATTGCAGACAACTGAATCAGAAGATTCCCATGGATAACCAGAGTAACAACCCACAGATCCAGCCTCTGGGTTCTTCCCTAACCTCATGCACTCCCTCCTATCTCCTTATGTCTCCCATGTGCATGTGAGTTCACACGTACACATATAGTAGGGCAGACACAACACAAAAAATGAGTGGAAAATAGAGATAGGAGAAAGGGAGAGAAACAGGTACGAGTGAGTAAGTGTGTGTGAACAAAACCAGGAGAGAAAAGGACGACAAAGAGAAAAGCAAGCAAGAGGAGAAAGATATGAAAGCGGATTCAGTGAAAGATTTGGTAAGATAGAAAATAAAGAGGAAAAGGAAAAAGAAGAAGCAAAGGACACAGAATGATACTGGGTGAAGAGGATAGAGACAGAAAAAAATACAAAAAGAAATACTTTTTTGTAGACACTTAGGTAAGAGTCGGTGACATTCATAGTAACATCTGAGAATTAAAGAAATTAAACAGAGACTGAGATAATTAAGTAGAGATAGAAATTTATAAGAAAAGAAATTTGAAAGGAAAATGTGAAAGAAGAAAATGTTAGGAAAGAAAAAGGGAGAAACAGAAAAGACTAGATGAGCATAGAAAGAGAAAAAAAAATAGGTAAAGAAAGATGAACCAAGCATAGACAGACAGAAGGAACAAATATAAATAGAAAGAAAGAGGGAAAGAGTGCCAGGAGAAAAACAAGAAAGAGGTAGACATAGAAATAACAAGAAGAATGTGTCTGGGAAGAGAAAGCCGAAACAAGAAGAACATAGTAATAATTAAAAGGGAAAAAGAAAGAAAGAGATACGGAAATAGTGAGGCAAGAAGAAGGAGAGGAACTCAGCCAGTTTATCCAAGGTGAGGATGGCAACCATAAGACTGGTGTGGAGATGATGTTCCATGCCCTGGAGGTGGAGCTCTTGGCCAAGTAGCTGCTAGGGAGTGTATATGCCAAAGTGTCCCCAAAGTCAATCATCAAGGAATCCTCTATAGGAATTCATAAGGATGGTCTTGTAACATTCTGCCAGGAATGGTGGAAGGGCCTGCAACCACTATCACTGGCCTTTTCTTGCCTTATTTCTGACCTCTTTGAAACTGAGGGCTTAGCCAGTTTACACCAAAGAGAGTGGTCACCAAGGGAGATTACATCTGGGGAAATGCAGAGGAGAGAAAGGGCTCTCTTCAACATGGTGTGAAGTCGACGTTAGAATTAAAACAGTGAGAACTTTCAAGCCTATGGCCATATGAGAATCCAAACATCACACAGGCTATGGCTGGCATACTCATAGTGGGCTAGTTATATAAATGTGCAACTCCTGGGAGTGTAGGAAAGAAAATCCAGTAGTATGCCAAAATGACAAGTTTATGAAAGCTACTGGGTTAGAGAGAGTGTCATATCTATCATAGTCCATGAAGGAAGAAGCTTGCTTGACTGGCCCCCTCTGGTAGAATTGATTGTTGAGGTGATGTTGTAGCATCCTCCTCAGTCTGTGTTCTCTACCTCCTCGGAAGAGCTCCTCTACATTCCTGAAATTCCTGTCTTTGTTGTAGCCCCCCAAATATGTAGAATAATTAGTCTGGAAATTTTAAGTATTGGTTGTTTTTTTTTTTTCTTTCAGGCACCACATTTTTCCAGAATCTCCCCAAAGCACAAAACTTGCTGTTGAACCTTTCTCTTGAAAGCCTTTGGCAAATGCATATGAAACTAAAAACAGTAGCTTTCAAAGAAATTTTTCTCATGCCAAGCCATTTTGAGCTGAGCCCTCACACTCCTTGGTATCCGTACTTTCCCCTCTGTTTTTTAAAATACTCTAGAAATGCCTGAGAAGACTAGGGATCTGTAGTTGGTAAGCCCTGATTACTTAAAGCTATTGGCATGACACCATCAAGTTTTCCTGGTGATCAGATTGTCCACCCCAGGGAACTACCTGGGGGGTTTTCAAAGGCCATGCAACTGTATATCATTATGGGAAAACTTCCCAGATTTCTCAGTTAACTCTGTTTTCTGGGCTGAACTTTCCAGGATAGGCAATGTAGGGAGAAAAATCAGTAAAATCACTAGCCTCTGATCTCTTGTTCACATCATTACCATTATAATTCTCCAATTCAATTCTTTTTTTTTTTAATTTATTTTTTTGACAGAGAGAGAGACAGTGAGAGAGGGAACATAAGCAGGGGAAGTGGGAGAGGGAGAAGCAGGCTTCCAGCTGAGCAGTCAGCCCGATGCGGGGCTCGATCCCAGGACCCTGGGATCATGACCTGAGCCAAAGGCAGACGCTTAACGACTGAGCCACCCAGGAGCCCCAATTCAATTCTTTTAACATACAGAATCTGAGCACCTACTAGATGCAATAACTATGGACATGTTTGGAAGGCAACAATAAATTCATTGATTCAACAAGTATTTGTGGAACACATATTATACGCCAAACTTTGTTCTAGGTGCTTGGGCTTCATGAGTGAATATCCTTTCATCTATGTACAAACATGGTCATGGAAAAGAAAGGAACTGTAGAGGTCGAATCCAGAAAGCAAAAGTATCTTCTATGACTCTTTGCATATCATGGCTTAATTTAAATCAGCTTTTACCTTGGTATTCCAGATTTCAGGTTACTTTTTTACTGTTCACGTTCAATTAAAAAAAAAGTCATGTGGGTCTAGAATTCAGATAGAAACCTAATCAGTGGGACCACCTTTCAGGTTCTGTGTGAACACCTTCACAGATGCAGAGCTCACTATTTGTCTAAGAAAGTCACTTTACTCTTTGCTCAGTGCCTTAGTTTGGAAGCTTCAAGAAGCAGATACCAAGAAGGTAATAGATAGGTGTTATGAACTGAATTGCATGTCCACAAAATTCATATGTTAAAGCCCTAAACCCTAATGTGACTGTATTTGGAGATAGGGCATTTGAGGAGGTAATTAAGGTTAAGTGAGGTCATAAGAGTGGGGCCCTAATCCAATACAACTGCTGTCCTTATAAGAGAAAGACACACCCGGGATGTACGCATACAGCGGAAAAACTGTATGAGGACAGCAAGAAGAACGCAGCCATCAGCAAGCCAAAGAAGAAAGAGGCCCTGGGAAAAACCAGACCTGCTGATACCTTTGGTCTTTGGACTTACAGCCTCCAGAACAATGAGTAAACAAATTTCTGTTGTTTAAGTCACCTGGTACGTGGTATTTTATTATGGCAGTCGTAGCAAACTAATACCACAGGCAAGAGATTTATTGGGAGAATCACCGGTGAAGGGAAAAGTGGGAAAGAGCAGGAATGAGTAGGGAGGATCCTCAAGTACCAGGTATGTCTGATACCTGTACAAGGAGAAAGGAAATAGGTTGATAGGAAGAGTCTCATATCTCAGTGCAGTTCTGAGGAAGTTTCAGCTAGGTCAATGAGGAATGCTTGGAAATATTGCCCCTCAGCAGAGTTCTGCATCAGGCAGGAGTGGCCTGGCAGAAATACTGTGACTGTGCTGAGTCATTGGTTGGGAGGAATCCCAGATGGATCCAGAGAGGTAACAACTTCAACTATCAGTCAGCTGTGTTCCATGCAGCAGGGTCTCTTAAAAGTGGTCTAAGCTGCATGCTTTCATATCTGTCACAGTCAGCTTTCTTAGAAAGCTCTAAAAACAAATCAGAATCTCCATACTTAACAAGAAATGCTCCTCTATTACAGCCATAAATGAGTTAGTATTCTATTGGTTGCAAGCAGCAGGAATTC